TAAATAGATATTTTTTAAAGAAATAACGGAAGGAGAGGAGCAGGGGCAGAGGCGTGAGCATATGCCTAGAAGGGAGGCAAGAGTTTATAAACACTCAGCCACTCAGGGTGGTTAGACTACAATAAGCAATGTGGAGGGACAGAGGGCATGCTGGGCTGTGTTTCAGGGACTTGTAGGCCACACTGCTGGATCTGCTGGAGACATGGTATCCTCCTGTATTGTAAGCGGGGTGGTACCTGCCTCTAGGATGAAGTGAAGCAATGCCATGAGAGCACTCACTCCAGGCCTGACATACACAGATGCCGAGTTAATGCAAGTTCCCTTTCCTATTTTCCTTCTTAGAGTTTGGACTTATCCCATAAACAGGGGGTGACATTAAGAATATTGAACTGCTAGTACAGTCCAGGTACACCCATGAAAACAGATGTGGCTCATAGACAACCAGTCTTGCTGTATAGATGGATACCTGCTGATAATGGGTCCTGCCTGCCAGCAACAAGGAACCATTAGAGATCTCTGCACATTTGGACACCATCAGATCTGTGTTAGGAAAAGTGTGGCTGCAGAGTGGAGGGTTGAGAACAGGGGTGGGAGGTACTGGAGGAGATTTTGAGGGTTAAAATCTACCCAAAGACCTTACAGTAGAAGCAAAACACAGGCGCTTGGGGCCATTCAGACTGAGGAGTATGTTAAGTCTCACGTTGATCTGGCTGAGAGACTTCGGTTTGGGGGTCAAGAGACCACCACTGGAGTGAAGGAAAGAACTGAAGCCGGCAAGTGCAAGGACCTGGGAAATGGAAGATCCTTGATAAGCTCTTGAAATTTCCCCACATCCAGTCTAGAATAATACACCTCATGCCCAAAGCTTTGCCTAATACTGGTGGGAATATTGTTCTGTGGCCAGCCTCGTGCCACACGAGAAGCCTCAGCTGGGAGGGAAGGAGTGTTTGCCCTCACTCAGTCGTGGGAAGTCAGCCATCAAGAGATGTGCTCTATTATTGTGGAAACTGAGGCTTTGCTCGGTGATGACCCCCTCAACAGGTGATGGGAAGCTTCTCGTTGCTCTGATAGTCGCTGCTCTTTCCGTTGCCTCTCTGGGGGCTCCGGGCTCCTCTGCCTTCTGTTCCAGCTTCAAGGACACTTATCATTTCCTGCGTATCCAGCCAGTCTCTCCACCCACGTTCAAGAAAGGTGACTTAGGGAGGGGCACTGTGGCGCTGCAGATTAAGCCTCTGCCTGGGACAGGCACATCCTGTATCGGAGTGCCTGGTTTGAGTCCCAGTTACTCCGCACTTGCTTCCAGGCCAGCTTCCTGGGATGCAGCAGGTTCCTGTCACCCACATGGTTGACCCAGGTAGGGTTCCTGGTTCCTGGCTTCATCCTGGCCTAGCTCAGGCTGTTCCAGGCATTTGGAGAATGAACCAGCAGATAAAAACTAGCTCTCTCGCTCGCTCTCTCTCTCTGCCTTTCAAATAAATCAATCTTTTAACAAATTAAGAAAGACAACTCAAAAGGTATGTTTTAACTTCAGAAAAAGATGACATGCAATATCCATGCCCTAATAAACTACAAATGTTTGAAATACAGAGAAAAAGGAAACCAAGACAGTCCCGGTAAGACAAACTTTTGATTTCACAAAGCTGAAAAATCCGTACGAAGTCTCGGTTGTATAAATATAATTGGTCTTATCTCTGATGTAGAGTCAGAGAAAAAGAAAAAAGAAAAAGAAACAAGATTGTAGGCCTAAGAAATGCCCTGGCCCTTGGATGTGCCACCATCTTCATGTGTGTTCCCAGCCAAACTCTGGTGACAGCCACAGGAGGGGAGGTACTCGTGTGTTTCAGGGACCCAGGGAACCACATGGGCTTTAAACATGGTAACTCTGGAGACCACACTCTCTCCACAGTAGCCTGTGCAAACCATGCCTGCCCAGGGTCAAGAACTAAAGCATTTTTCCCTTGGAAAAACCTAGCATGTGTCTGCTCTGAAATGGTCAACTAAAAGCAATTGAATGTTTTAAGTCGGTCAATAGTGTGCTCAGTGAATTATATCCCAATAAAGCTGTTAGGAAAAGTATGTGATGTGTCTAAGTTGTTAAGCCAAAAGTGACCCTGATGGCATAGCTCAGGAGTTCTTGATAGGTCACAGGATACCCTGTCAAAGTTGGCACAGCAGGGGGCGGTGGAAAGGCAATCCTTAAAGGATTACTGCTCCATCAGTGGAGTCTGAGGTTGCTCAGGGTGCACTCAGGTTCAAGATGTCAGAATATTGGCCGGCGCCGCGGCTCACTAGGCTAATCTTCCGCCTGAGGCGCCGGCACACCTGGTTCTAGTCCGGTCAGGGCACCGGATTCTGTCCCTGTTGCTTCTCTTCCAGTCCAGCTCTCTGCTGTGGCCGGGGAGGGCAGTGGAGAATGGCCCAAGTCCTTGGGCCCTGCACCCCACGGGAGACCAGGAGAAGCACCTGGCTCCTGGCTTCGGATCAGTGCAGTACGCCGGCTGCAGCGCGCTGGCCATAGCGGCCACTGGGGGGTGAACCAACAGAAAAGGAAGACCTTTCTCTCTGTCTCTCTCTCTCACTGTCCACTCTGCCTGTCAAAAATAAATAAATAAATAAATAAAAGATGTCAGAATAAGGATGACAAAAGGGATGTGCTTTTTCCTACAGCTCCCAGAATAGCCTAAAGCCCTTGCGAGGTCTCTGTCACAGAAGCTCTTCTGCGGAAGGCAGGTGCCAGGGTACTGCTGAGGGTACTGCAGACATCAGGCTGGGGCTCAGGAGCTACACGTCTGCTCCACTGGGGACAATTCCAGCTGGGCCACGGGACCTGAGAGCCTGACTCTCACAAAAGGAGAGAGAATCTGGACACCCAAAGAGAAGCTCCTAGATTTACTGAGCCAAAGGGACTCCCAGCCATCACGGATGGCCTGAAGTCACGGCCAGACTCCAGCATTCACCGACTCTTACCAGATCCACTGCCAGTACAGCCATGACTGATGAGATGAGCAACTCATTTTAGGCAGAAAAACCTTTTAGAGATGCCACCTTCATTACATACCTACTGTCTGGTCACCAAATGGTCACTAGAGAGAGGGCACAGGCACAGACCATGAACAACCGGGATTTGAGCAAGGGGTGGTCACTGTAGGCTGACAGTGAGGGAAGGAGAATTGGCAGTAATAGAAAGAAAACAATCGTTAAAGTCCTGTGCTGCTTTTACCGTTCTGGGTGCTCAGGTTCACTGATTATACTTGGTAGAAAAGTGGACACGTAGGACACCCACTCCACTCACCTTTCAACAGAGAGATTTCCAGAAACTGAAGATAGAAGCCTTTTTTTTTTTTTTTTGCTTGTTTTTTGCACACAAAGGAAATGAGAACAGAAAAACCAGGACAGGGGCTTAAAAATGAGAAGGCCTGGTTAAACTCCCCGCATCTCCCTCCTTAAAGACTGGTCTGGTGCTGCTGCTGGGGCGTGGGCTTGGGATTCAATCCCTGTTTTGGCCTAGAAGTTACTTATTTTGTATCTGGGCAGAGAGTGAAGCTTAGAAGCACACATATATCAGGGGCCAGTGTTGTGGTCTAGCAGATTAAACCACTGCCTGAGATGCTGGCCTCCCATAGTGGAGAGCTGGTTCTGAGTCCTGGCTGCTCCACTTCCAGCCCAACTCCCTGCTTACTGTGTCTGGGAAAGCAGCAGAGGATGGCCCAAGCGCTTGGATGGAGTTTCAGGCTCCTGGCTTTGGCCTGACCCAAGCTCAGCCATTGAGCCATTTGGGGAGTGAACCAGGCAGATGGAAAATCTTTACTCTGTCTCTGCCTCTCTATCACTCTGCCTTCAGATAAATTTAAAAGAAAAGAACAAGGAGGAAAGAAGGAAGGGAAGAAGGAAGGAACACACAGAGAGAAAGAGGGAAGTAAAGGAAGGAAGACAGAGAGAGAGAGAGAGAAGCACATATCATGACCACCTCAAGTTTGTGCAATTGTGGGTTGAATCCTCCAATCTGGTCCCATTAAAACCCTGGCCTCCCCTCCTGGGCTTTCAGAATCAGATGCCCCCGTCCCTTGGCTCAGACTTCTGGAACTGGGGCGCTCGAGGATGGCAGGGGTCTACTGTCTCTGCAGGTAGACATCAACAGATGGCAAGGCCAGGGCATCTGCATTTGGGGCTTACCAGGTTCTCTCTCTCTAAGATTTATTTATTTATTTGAAAGGCAGAGTTTCAGAGAGAAAGAGAGAGATCCTCCATCTGCTGGTTTCCCTAAATGGTCGCAACGGCCAGAGCTGGGCTGATACGAAGCCAGGAGCCAGGAGCTTCTTCCAGGTCTCCCACGCGGGTGCAGGAGCCTGAGGACTTGGGCCATCTTCTACTGCTTTCTCAGGCAATAGCAGAGAGCTGGATCAGAAGTGGGGCAGCTGGGACTAGAACCAGGGCCCAGATGGTTTGCTGGCACTGCAGGCGGCGGCTTTACCCACTATGCCACAGGGCCAGCCCCACCTTGTTCTCTTTAGTATCACGGGGATATGTTTAAAAAACAAATAGATCCAGTAGGACTTTGGGAAACTTCTAGATGAACCTTTTTCCTTTGGCTTCAGTGGGGATATTTATCTCTTATGAGAAAGGAATGAAGTACCTGGTTTAAAAAAACAAAAAGCCCTTCCTTATCGCCTCTCCCTGTGCTTATCAAGCCTCTGCTTGCCCGGGCCACGCTCACCTTGGCCTCCAACTGTCCGTTACTCACAGTGCTACAGGAGGAAGGAGCCCAGGCAACTACAAGGCCTGGGAGCCCCGAGCCCCCTCGCTTTGTCTCCCTCCTAAGGCAACAGCGACCAGGAAAGCGCCCAGCTGTTTTCTGTCCAGCAACAGGACAGAGGAAGTAATTTCTCTACTTGCCAAGGGAGATTTTCCTTCCAGAGCTACAAGAATGATGACGGGTGGTGGAAGAGCTGTGGCTCCAGCGGCTGGGCCACGGTAGGAAACAAGATGCAAGCCAGGGGGTGTATATAAACAACGTGTGGGTGTATTTGGCAGGTTCGAGACAAGCAGAAAGGAGGGTTTAGGTATTCTATAAAAAAAAAAAAAACAAAAAATAAAAACCCAAAGCTCTGAAATTCGAACTTCTTCTGTTAAGGCCACAATGAAGAGATCTCCAGCAGCGGGCACTGATCGCAGGACGCCGGCACCCAAATCGCCATGGCCTCTGAAGGGGATGTGCCAAGGTGAGGGGGCCGGTGTGGCAGGCGGTGCCTCTCACAGGTCCATGTCCGGGCCCCCTGACGACGTCTTCAGTGGCACCGAGTCAAACCCGTCAGGAGTTCTCTGAAAGAGAGATGGCGACAGGCGCTGGCCGCTGCGCATGGGCAAATGTGGGGAACAGAGGAGAGAGAGGGAAAACAAGTGACAGAAGGAACCCTGTGGCGTTCCTGTTTTCAGTGGCTTTGTGGAAACACAGAAATGAGATCCTTTCTATTCTTTCTGCTCCCTTCAGGGTCACTCACAGAATAAGGAAAATCTTAAGAGTCCCCTGCTTTGCATCTTTGTTGCTAGATAAATGAGTTCCAGGTAGACTCAAGGGTGAACTGTTCTTCCATTGATAAATTTAAAAAAACAGCAAGGTCTAAGGGAGACGGAGGGACTCACACTGGCAGGCCAGCACAAAGGGAATTCGAGTCAGCAGTCTGAGCACCTAACCACCACCCTCCCCACCCAAACAGGTTCCGGACAGCAGGCAGGTGTGGGCACTGCAGCCTGGGGGGAGCTGCTGGGATGCTGTCCGCTGGCCCTGCGCCCAGCGATGGCGCTGTCCATATTGCATTTATGAGCTTCTCACTCATCCACCCACACACCCACCCAGAGCCAACCTTCCCACTGAGCCACTCACTCATCACTCAGCGGTCAACAGCTCACACTCAGCTGTGACTCAGCCCCTACAGGGCCGGGCCCAGACACCTAGGGGACAGCACCCTCCACTGGCCAAAGCAGAGGCCTCACCCCTATCTGAGGTTGATCCTAGAGATCACCTTTCCTCCCACTCCAAAAGGGGGGGGGGGCATTGGGGGTAAATAGTGATTGATTCTAACAATAAGGATGGTACAATACTGCTTTGGAAAACTAAACATTTCAGCCAATAGGAGTGCAACTTGGGAGAGAAGGAGCCTGGTCATGGGCAGCCTTGGGCCCCAGGGACAAGAGTACTGGGTGGTAACGCAGAAAGCCCATGTCAGGATTTCCAGCATGGGACACAGAACAGCATGGGGGCAGAGAGCAGAGTGGTGGTCGTGGTCACTGAGCAGCCCAGGGCCAATTGGTGTCCTAGGAGTGTCTTCCCTAGCACTCAGGATGACCTCAGCTTACTGGCCAGCCTCCCTACCTTGGAGGTAAATGATTTGATCTTCCCAAAGAGGGACTTCTTGCTGGTAAAGATGAGGTCGTCTTCCACGTCCTCCCCTTCCATGATGGCACAGCTGTCAGCTGCGGGCAGGTCACAGTCCTTGAGGGTGGCGTTCATCACCAGCTTGGAGTACTTGTATTCCAGTCTGTGACCAGAGGGGTGGGAAGGACAGGGCATCGGAATGTGGCGATGAGGGGGAAGGAGGGAGAGAGGTTTGTACATCAACAGATCCTCCCATGTTGTGGGTAAAGTAACTGAAGCATAGCAAAATGCTGTTCAGGTTGGGTGTACGGGAGGGATCTTGAGGGGGTGGTGCCATGGCACAGTGGGTTAAGCCGCCATCTTATGGGCACCAGTTCATGTCCCAGTTGCTCTACTTCCAATCCAGCTCCCTGCTAATGCACCTGGGAAAGCAGCGGAGGACAGCCCAACTCCTTGGGCCCCTGCACCCACATAGGAGACCTGTAAGAAACTCTTGGCTCCTGGCTTCAGCCTGGCCCAGCCTTAGCTGTTACAGCCATTTGGGGAGTGGACCAGCAGATGGAAGATCTATTTCTCTGTCTCCCCTTCTCCCTCTCTCTCTCTCTCTCTCAATCTCTGTAACTCTGCCTTTCAAATCAATCAATCAATCTAAAAAAAAAAAAAAAAAAAAAAGGTTTTGACTGCCAGTTCAGTGATCTTTTTCCCTTAAGGCTGGCTGTTTCTGTGCCCTCAAAGATTACTGGAAATACTGAAATCATAAAGTCATTACTTGTATTATTACTAACAATACAACAGATAAAGGCTATTCTGCTTATCTAACAGCCATTTATAGACTAATACAGTCTAATACTAATACTAATTATTAGACTCATACTAATATAGACATGTGTCACCATCCCAGTTCAGGAGTCAGGGTAACCAAGACATACATTGGACAAGTGGCCATCAAGTCTCTGGCCAGAGTCACAGAGCCTGTGGCCAATCCCAGAAAAAAGCCTCATTAATTGATACACACTCACGGGTCCCCCTGCTCGTTGAGCCAACCCTGCCCATTCTCAGATGCCAGCACCCCACCATGTACTTTTGATTCTTCTTCCAGAAGTAGCAAGTCAGGACTGTGAGCAGGATGGCAGTACAGGTGCCCGCGGAAATGCCCACTTTCAGCCAGAAGTCGATGGTTTTGCAGATGGTCACTCTCTGCTCGGGCAGAGAGATGCCCCCGGCGCAGACCCTTGGCTCTCGCCACACGTAAGTAGTCTTCTGTTGGGGAGACAGACGAGGACCTCAGATCTCACCCCCCTTCTCTCCTGCAAAACTCCCAATCAGAGGGCAACTCACCTGGATCCCAGCCACACAGCTGCTGACGAAAGCGTGGTAGTCAGCGGCCGAGCAGAGCGGGCAAGCGGCCGCGCTCTCCCACAGGAAGTGGAAGTTACAGCCGTCGCAGGTCCCCTCGGAGCACGAGCTGGCAAAGCAGAAAGGAGACTCGAGCTCTCACTAGCTGCCCCGGTGGGGAAGAGCTGGTTACCCGATTCAACGTCTCCCTGCCCGAGCTGTCAGCTCAGCAGGATCCTCCCAACTAGTTCTCAACACAGGCTTAGGTCTCCGATGTCCCTTCCCAGCCTCCCCGGGGCTCCTCATCTCCTACCCTTTTACATCTCTGCTGACATCAGGAGCTCACGTAAGGGGTCTGAGGCCTGGCCTGGCTGCCCCACCAGCCCCCGAGAGGCTCCTGTCCTCCCCGTGGGCCTGTGACATTTTGCATTAGCTACTTGGATGCAGCTTCCTGGAGGTGGGATTAGAGCTGAGGTGGGTTTCAGGAATGGACTTCAAGTCCTGGATCTCTGTTATGACAGCAAGGACAGCGAGTTTATACGCAGATGCCACTGCTGGGTCAGGAGGTCCTGCTTCGACGCTCTGTCTCTCCAGCCAGTTGGCTTTTGGGACAGTGTTTCCCAAACTGTGTTCCTCGAGGCACTAGCACCAGCCAAGATTTTAGCTGGCCTTATGTTGGGGTAAAAGGAGGGGGGTGGTGTCTGGAGGTCCTATTAGCTTGGAAATTCTCAATTCTCAATCGGTGCTCAGCTATTAAACTCAGAGCTGGGTCCTCTACTTGCAGAAGAGATTCCTAGGATCCCTAAACCTTCACTAATACTAATAATAGCCACACTTCAAGAGAAGTCCCAAAGTCTCCCTGTCTCAGTCCTCAACACAGTTCCACGTGGAAACTTACTGTGATGCTTATTTTACAGATAAGGCAAAAGAGGACCAGAGAAGACGAGACACGTGTCCATGATGAAACAGCTAGTACGTGGACGAGCTGATTGAAGAGCGGCCCTCAGCACGAGCCGCTGGGTCCCAGGATGCCACCATAACGGTCTGGGATGCAGAGGTGGCTGGGACTCTTTCTTCTGCCCCATTCCTGCTATTTGAAGACTGTGGGTCTGGGCCCAGGACTATGCCCCCAAAGAGCCCATTAATGGATCTCAAACTGTTTTCTCTTCCGCTGTTTTTCAGTAAACTCTTGCTCACGGGCTAGACTGAGTCCAGGGAAGGGGGACTCTGGCCTGTGTCACGTCCCCTGGTAGGGCTTACTTTGGCAGCGACAGAACTCCTGGGGCAGGCTTCAGCGGACTGCACCTGACGCGGATGGTGGTCGCGCGCCCAGAGTTGCAGGACTGGGTCACATCATTGGACCTGCAGAGAGACGCAGCCTTGACTGGAGGACGGGTCACTCAACCATGTTATTGGAGAGCCACTGAGGGAAGTCAACGTGGACAATTCCCTCACTTCCCAAGTCGGGCCTTGGGCTGCAGCCTGACACACAGGGAGTCCCCAGGCCTTGGTGCAGCCATGGAGAGAGTGAGGATCAGGGAGATATAGTCGAGGGGGAAACCCACTGGCCTACAAGAGGCACAGCTGACACACATCAAGGGCTCCATAAGCTGGAAGGGAGGGTCCTGTGGCTGCCCCAGGAATACCCAAGAAGCTGGGATCAGGGAACTCCCAGCCTTCAGATGGCATGAGCAGGCAGATCTGCTAGACCTCAGAGCTGCGCTGGCTTGATAAGGGGGGGGGGTGGCAAGGGAGGGAGGGATGCAACAGAGGTTGTGGGAGAGTCCTGAGCTGCTTTTGCATTAGCCTGGCCCCTCAGCCTCACCTATAAAAGAAGATCACATCTGGTATTCCTGAGGTCTCTGGGTGGAAGAGTTCAGCAGGGGAGGTGATCCCATCCAGAGTCAAATCTGTTGACACTCCTGCCAGATCAGACCCCCTAGTTAGGCCTCACTGAAGCTATTAGCTGGCGACCACTTCAGTGCTTTCAAAACCTGTCCACATCCAACCTGATTTCATCTTAACACATCCCCTAGTGGCTCATGAAACAGTGAACCAAGGCCTTCTCAGAGGTCCCATGGGCATTGGGCACCCAGGAAGGGATAGAAAACAAGGTCAGGCAGTTGGGCTTCTCATTTGGGACAATTTTACCTCCCAGCCATGCACACACACACACACACACACACCTACACACCTAGAGCAGCTGAGTTACTCACCAATTAGTCGATCAGCCAGGCTAACAGGCTGCGAGGACACCCCGGCCTTGTAGCCCGTCACCTCTGGGGGGATGATGACTGCCTGGCAGACGTAGGCTGAGATGGATTTGGAGAATCCGGACTCGCCCTCGGGAATCCGGATGTCGGTGACGTTGTCAGTGCACACGGACATTTTCTTACCCTGGTAGGATTGGGGGGTGCCGGGAGCAAGAGTGGGAAGAAGTGAATGCTCACAGAGGAAGTCCCAAAAGGGAGCAGGGAACAGTATTTTTCACATCTAAAATTTCAGCCTTGCAAATGGTATTTGTTGTAGTGCAATGATTCATCCCAGATGGATTTAAATATGAAAAAAGACAAAGCTAAAAATAACACCTCGGTGTCCTAGTTTTTGTAACTCTGGTCTGGTCTTGGAGTTCCCAGTTTATTTTTAAAAGGCAGAGTGACAGAAAGGGGGAGACAGGGTGGGGAGGGGGATAGAGAAAGATATCTTCCATCTTTTGATTCACTCCCCAAATATCTGCAACAGCTGGGGCTGGGCCAGGCCAAAGTCAGAAGCCGGGAACTCCATCCAGATCTCCCATGTGGGTAGCAGGAACCCGAGTGAGCTGTCACCTGCTGCTGCCCAAGTGCTTTAGCAGGAAGCTGGATTGGAAGCGGAGTGAGACTTGATCCAGACACTTCCACACGGAATGTGGGCTTAACCCGCTGCACAACGCCTACTCCCCAGTGGTCTTGTCTCCTTGGAGTCACCTGGGAGCCCTAGGTGAGAAGGGCTGTGATTTGGAGGTCTAACCTACCAGCCCAGCACTTACATGCCTTTCCTTATCCTAATCCATTTTCTAGACAGAAACTGGAATGTGTAACTGATCCGAGAAGTGAGTGAAGCGTATTGGAACATTTGGCCTGCTTGACGGCCCTTCTGTGTCTGCTGCTGGGCTGTGACTCTACCGTGTTCGCTTCAGAAGCATTTTCTAGACAGAGAAAACCGAGCCCATAACCAGCCCCTTCCTGCCTTACAGAAGGACCTCTGAGAAGTGTGTCCAGAGAAGGAAGTTTCCCTCCTTTCCAGTTGTTAACACCCCTCAGTGTAGACACGGGAAGATGGTGGGAGTGGCCACTCTTTCCTTGAGCTTTTGTAAAGAAGAAATATTAAGGTATTGCCCCTTCAGGACTGTTGAACTGGGAGGGTGTTGTGGTGGAGCAGGTGAAGCTGCCACTTGGGAGGCCTGCAACCCGTATCCACGTGCCTGGAATTGAGTCCTGACTCCGCTTCCATTCCAGCTTCCCGCTGATGCACCCAAGAAGCAGCAGGTGATGATTCAAGCACTTGGGCCCCTGCACCCGTGTGGGAGACCCAGATGCAGTTCCTGGCTTCTGGCTTTGGCCGGATCAAGTGCCGGCTGTTGTAAACATTTTTTTTTTTAAGATTTATTTATTTATTTGAAAGGCAGAGTTACACAGAAAGGAGAGGCAGAGAAAGAGAGAGAGAGAGAGGTCTTCCATCTGCTGGTTCACTCCCCAATTGGCCACAACGACCAGAGCTGCGCTGATCTGAAGCCAGGAGCTTTTCTGGGTCTCCCACGTGGGTGCAGGGGCCCAAGGACTTGGGCCATCTTCTTAATGCTTTCCCAGGCCATAGCAGAGAGCTGGATCGGAAGAGGAGCAGCCAGGTCTCGAACTGGCGCCCATATGGGATGCTGGCGCTTCAGATCAGGGTGTTAATCCACTGCGCCACAGCGCTGACCCCTGTTGTGAACATTTAGGGAATGAACCAGCTGTTGGAAGATCTCTCTCTTTCTCCTTCTGTATCTCCACCTTTCAAATCAATAAAACTTTTTTTTAAATGTTAAATTTATGGGATATCAGTATATAACTTGTTTGCTAATGTAAAATCAGTTGTAGGATATTTTAAATTTAAGTGGACTACACATTTAGAAGATAAATTTTCAGTGTTATAAATGTTTTAAGTGGAACTGTCCCTTAGGTCTTTTCCTATATTGTTACAGGAAAAGAACTTGAGAACAGAAGGAAACGTTTACATTATAACAAAACAAAGAATTATTCTGTCCTTGAACAGAGGCACTGTAGTGTGACAGAAACCATTTATGAAAAGAATAAAGGAGGCTGGTGTTGTGGCACAGTGGGTTAAGCTGCTGCTTACAAAGCCAGCATCCTCTATCAGACTGTTCTGTTTTCAATCAGCTCCCTGTTAATGCACCCAGGAAAGCAGAGGAAGATGGTCCAAGCACTTGGGCCCCTTATCGCCCATGTTTGAGATTTCGATGGAGTTCCAGGCTCCTCCTGGCCTCAGCCTGGCCCAGTTCCAGCCATTGTGGGCCTTTAGGGAGTAAGCCTGAGAATGGAGGATACGTCTCCCATCACTCTACCTTTCAAATAAATACATCTTTTTTATGATCTTTCATAGATTCCTCCATTTCTTCCCATGCTCACTGCACACACATTGACTTCCCTCAGGCTGCAGAAGGGTAGGAGCTGGATGGTGCACAGGCCCCACCACCACCACACAGTCACAGACTGAATGCCCAAGAGGCTCTGTCTCTTCTGACATTTGAACTGAGCTTCGCAACGTGTCCAGCTGCTAAGTGTGGTTTACAGGGAGCTTGATCAGGCACCCTTTACACCTTGCTCTTGAATGTTGAATCCCAAACGCCAACAAGGAATGGCCACAGGCCTTCCTTATCCTATAAAAGCCTTTCCTGTAGTTTCTTCTTGCTGACAGCAAAGACCCATGAAGATGAGCAAAGGAAGTTCATTTTACACAATCTCTGGAAAACACATCCCAGATGCAGTGATATGGAGCCAGTGTTGTGGTGTAGCAGGTAAAACTGCTGCCTGCGACGCTGGTATCCCACATGGGAGCCAGTTCCTGACCCAGCTGCTCCACTTCTAATCCAGTTCTCTGCTAATGGCCTGGGAAACCAGCAGAAGATGACCCAAGTGTTTGGGTCCTTGCCTCCCATATTGGAGACCCTGGTGAAGGTCCTGGTTCCTGGCTTTGGCCTGGCCTAGTCCTGGCTGTTGTGGCCATCTGGGGAGTGAACCAGCAGATGGATGCTCTCTCTATGTGTGTATTTTTGTGTTTCTTTCTTTCTCTCTTTAATTCTGACTTTCAAATAAATAAATAAATCTTCTTTAAAAAATAGAGATTGTCGTTGTGGCAAAGTGGGTCAAGCCACCACCTGCAGTGCTGGCATCCTTTATGGGCGCCAGTTTGAGTCCCAGCTGCTCCACTTTCCATCCAGCTCCCTGCTAATGTGCCTAGGAGAGCAGTGGAGAATGTCCCAAGTCCTTGGGCCCCTGTAACCATGTGGGAGACAGAGAAGAAGTTTCTGGCTCCTGGCTTTGGTGTGACCCAGTCTCAGCTGTTGTGGTTATTTGGGGAATGAACCAGCGGATGGAAGATCTCTCTGTCATTCTGCCTTTCAAATAAATAAAATAAATCTTTTTTAAAATATAAAAATATACATACATAAATAAAATAAATACAAATGCAGTAATTATTGAAGACTGCCTTTTTTTTTTTTTTTAAGGAGGGTTCCTCCTGCATATTTTTAAATACAGAGGTTGGGGGTGGGAGCAGTTATGCTTGTGATGCAGCAGGTCAAGCCACCACTTGCCACACTGGCATCCTTACTGGAATGTTGGTCAAGTCTTGGTTGTTCCGCCTCCATTTCAGCTCCCTGCTGATGTTCCTGGGAAGGCACAGAGGAAGGCACAAGTGCCTGGGCTCCTGCCACCCACACGGGAGGCCCAGATGGAGTTCTAGGTTTCTGGCTTGGGCCTGGCCCAGCCCTGGCTGTTGAGGTCATTTGGGGAGTGAACCAATGGATAGAAGATGTGTGTGTGTGTGTGTGTTCATCTGCTTTTCAAATAAATAAATAAATCTTAAAAAGATAATAATAATGAAAATGGAGGTTGACTATCTCTTATCCAAAATGCTTGGAATCAGAAGTGTTTCACATTCAAGGAATTTTTTGTTGGATTTTGGAACATTTCCATAGATTCCACCAGTTGAGTATTCCTAATCTAAAAGTTGGAAATCTGAAATGTACCAAAGCCTGGAACATGCTTACGCACCTGAGGGGTGCCAACTTGCACTCATTTTGAGACTGGCGAGCAGGTGAGAGCGAGCGGACACCTTAAACATCTTTGTTTTCCTAAAGGTTTATGCTCCAGATGGTCGCGTGTCATGGGAGAATGGGGGTCATTGAAGAGCCCTCTAACCACCTCGGCCTGGAAGGTGTTCCTGCTTTTCTCCTGGCTCTGGCTCTGGCCCAGACCCCCGGGCTGCCCCTTTAAAAATGCCTACACTGTCCCCTTGCACAGCTCACCTGGTTTCCACAGAGACTGACGGTGAAGTGGTGGAAATATTTCAGCCCCTTGGAAGTGAAGCTTGGCCCTCCAGCCAGAGTTTTGATGTCTGCCAAAGCTGAGAAATTGTAGTCCAAAGTCCTCGAGGGAACATGGCGGGAGAAGGTGCAGTCGTTGTAGCAGAGAGAGTGAATCTAGGGGTGGGGGAGAGGCTGGGTCAGGCCCACGGGACCCTGCAGCGCCTTGGGGGGCTGCAGCACAGTTTTCTCCTAAGCGTTGGAGAATGGGGTGGAATGGGAGTGAAAAAGAAGGAAGACAGGGCTCAGGTGGGCATTGGAACAGATACCAGTGGGACCTATGTACCTCCGCCCATTCAACTATGGGCACATATGTGACGTGCAGATCCAATTGCTAGTTTTCAGTGGATATTTTAGCCAAATTCTATAGCCTTACCCCGTGCCTACATTACATGATCCCCTCTAAGACACAAGACAATCCTTCATACTTGCAAGCACAAGACAATGAACTAACTAGAAGAAGGGTGTTGGGAATGGCACAAGAGAAACTATAGGTCTGTCCCCATCCCCTGGCCACTTAAAACTCACTGAACCCTGTTTCCCCTGTCTCATTTTCTCCGCAGGGAACTCCAAAATGGGGCTCTAACTCCCATGGGGATAGCCCTTCTGCAGCACTTTTACACAACTGTAATTCCCTCCCTCGGCGGCAGAGGGCGCTCCAGCAGAAGGGTGTGACAAAAGTCCAAGGTCCCCAAAAGAGGCTGCCAGGGCTCTGCAGTCATGGCACTTATTGCACAGCTGAACTGAGCCACATCTGCAGAGTATTTAAATAGTGTCTTACAGAGGTATGGCCAGGTGTTGCGATCAGTAAGACAGAAACTCAATTAAAAGCAAAATTTAGGGGTATCTCAGAGCTTTCAGTTCCGAGCATATCCTCAGATGCAGAAAGTGCAACAGCACAGTTTCTCCACCTGGGGAGGAAACCTCTACAGCTGTGAAGCCGAGAGGCCACTGAGACAGAGAAGAGCAATGCCCATCAACCATATGTCCCACTGGAGGTTGGGGCAAAGACGATTTGGTTGTCCACAAAGAAGACGGGACAACCTCCCATAATAACAGGCTGGACTGGATGAAGCTGAATTCAATCCATCAACCCCATGATTCCTTCCTTTTGGGTCTCTGCAGATGCCAAACACCCCCAGGATTGGGTGGCCCCTGCTCTCCAGTACCCACCAAAAGAAGATGAGCCCAGTCCCTGACTGTGGCTGGGCCCTGGACATGCAGCCCCGCTAGTGAGCACTCAGCACCCACCGTCACAGCCTGGCTGGTGTACTCAGGATGTCAACCTGATGGTATGCTTAAGGGAGCACCTGAGTACCAGCCCCTCGAGAACCCATCCAGGACTCAGCGCCTCCTGAAGACATTCAAACAGAGGCCAAGGTTGGAGGCAGGGCAGGCTGCTGGCACCTTGTTGCTCTTGGTCCCTGGACCACAAGGAACGCAGGCCTGGGCACCGTAAGGCTGATGTGCTTTCAGGATTGTGTTAGGGGGGCACGAGTGGCACGTCCCCGAGTTTCGGTCGATGTAGTAACCGGCAGGACAAGAGGTGCAGGAGGAGCCCATGTCAGAAGCTTCTAGCGCGCAGGGACGGCAGTAGGAGGCCACGCCATCCATGACGTTGGTGACATTGATGGAGTAGATCTTGGCAACGTCGTTGGTGTACCTTCTGCCCTGGAGACAAGGAAACAAGAGGGCAGAGAGTGGAGGCCTAGGACAGCAATGACTAAGTCCTTCGGAAATAGCTAAGTACTTCCATACCACATTTGAGAAAAATCTTAGACACATCCTAAACTTCACAGTGACTCTTTATGTACATTTGTGTCATCTTAAAAGAACATTGGATCGGGCTGGTTCTTTGGCATGTCAGGTTAAGTTGCCTTGCAGTGCCAGCATTCCATATGGGTGCCAGTTCATGTCCTGGCTGCTACTCTTCCAATCTGGCTCTCTACCTGTGGCCTGGAAAAGCAGTGGAAGATGGCCCAAGTGTTTGGGCCCCTGAACCCATGTGGGAGACCTGGAAGAAGCTCCTGGATCCTGGCTTCAGATCAGCCCAGCTCTGGCCATTGCAGCCATTTGGGGAGTGAACCAGTGAACAGAAGACCTTTCTCAGGGCTGGCACTGTGGCATAGCAGGTAAAGCCGCCACCTGCAGTGCCGGCATCCCATATGGGTGCTGGTTCGAGTCCTGGCTGCTCAACTTCTGATCCTGTTCTCTGTTATGGCCTGGAAAAGCAATGGAAGATGGCCCAAGTGGTTGGGCCCTGCATCCGCGTGGAAGACCCAGAGGAAGCTCAGGCTCCTGGCTTCTGTCTGGCCCAGCTCCAGCCATTACAGCCATTTTGGGGAGTGAGCCAGTGGATAGAAGATCTCCTTCCTCTCACCATAACTCAAATAAATAATAAAATAATAAAAATAAATCTTTTAATACATAAATGGATTTTTAAAAAGGAAAACACCAGGTCTGGCACCACCCGTGGGGGCAGAGACTGCAAGGAGGGACAGGTTGCTTAAGGGGCTCCTGGAGTCACCTCTCCGGGAAGCCACTGGGAGAAGGGCGCATGATTCTCAGAGCCCCGGGTCGGCAGTTCTCTGCTGGGCTCCTTAGGCTGCACTAACGCTTGGGTGTGAACCTCAGACTCCCAGGTAAGCGAATGCTGAGAATCCTGCCGGGTGCACAGGGACTCTTGCGGGAGTCAGGGGTCTGCAGAGGGGTGGAGCTCACTGTCTCGTGAAGGGTGGTCCTCTGGAAGGCCCAGGTGAAGCTCACGGTGGCGTTCTCCTCGATGGTGTAGGTGTAGGACTGCTTGCCTTTGGAACCTTTCCACGTCTCCACGGGGGTGTTGGTCCTGGAATTCATGCCCTGGGTCCAGCACAGACAAGGGAAGGAGGCGTCAGGGCTTGGGGGGACCGGGTGCCCACAGTGCTGCTGGGCCGGGGGCCATCTAAGAACCATGGCACCCTGCCAAGGCCCTGATAGGGTAGGCCCTTCCTCTGCAAAATCATTGCAAGCAGATGTCAGTAACACTGATGAACAGAGGAGGGCAAATCCCTCCCCGCCCCCTGGAAGTCCTAGAGCAGGCAAAGAAAGGAAGACGCACCACCATGAAGTAGAGCTCACAGTTCACGGAACAGATGGTCTCAAAGACGAACGTGATCCTGGCCACCTCTTTGTTCTCTGTGTCTTCCATCACCGACTGAGGCGGTCTATGGGGGCAGAAACTGAAAGTCAGTTCCAGGGACGGGTGCTGTGGTGCAGCGGGTTAAGACACAGCTTGGGACGTTGGCAGCCCATACTGGAGAGCCAGTTAGAGTCCTGGCTGCTCCACTTCCAATCCAGCTTCCTGCTGATACATCCTGGGAAGCAGCAGATGATGGCTCAAGTGCGTGGGTGCCTGCCACTCACGCGTGAGATGCAGATAGAGTTCCAGGCTCCTGCTTCAGCTTGGCCCAGCCCTAGCTGCTGTGGGTATTTGGGGGGGTTGAACCAGTGGATGCAGGAGCTCTGTCTATCTCTCAAGTAAATGAAATAAATAAGTACAAAGTCCCAGAGGCCAAGTGGTGCTTCCTGAGGAGTGTGTTCATCAACACAGGGACTGCTGGGCACAGCATTAGGTTCTGAGTATGTTGGAAAGAGCTTGGACCAAGTCCAGCTGTGCTATGTGACCTTGACTCAGCCTAAAATGTGCCTTTCTCATCTGTAAAACGGAGCTGTTAGTATCTTTATTATACACCTCCCATCACTGTGGTGAAACCCAGAGGCATAACAGGTGTGCAGGTGCTTTACAAAATGCTTCGGGGCCTCACTAGCAGAGCGTGGACTGCACATGAGCAGCATCACCAGCTCTGGGCATTTATGAGAATTGCAGAACCCCAGGGCCCTCCCCAGACCCATCCAATCAGAACCTGTATGTTGGAGCTGACATTGTGCCATAGCAGGTTAAGCCTCTGCCTGCAGACTGGCATCCCATATGGGTGCTGGTTTGAGTCCCAGCTCCCTACTAATATGCCTGGGAAAGGAGTGGAAGATGGCTCCTGGCTCCTGGCTCCTGCCTGGCCCAGCTCTGGTCGTTGCAGCCATTTGGGGAATGAACCAGCAGACGGAAGATCTCTCTGTGTCTGTAACTCTGCCTTTCAAATAAATAAAATAATTTTTTTTAAAAAAAAAAGAAGAAGAAGAACCTGTGTGGTTCACTTGATTCCCCAGTGATTCACATATGCAGTAAGTCTGAGAAGTGCCACTCCCGTAAGACGTGAATTGCCCACACTACTCAGCAGCTCGCTTCCCAGCCCTGCGTGGATTACAGCAGCAGAACACGCCCTCGAAGCTGGCAGGCTGCTCCCTCTGGGGAGCGTGAGGGACACGCCCACGTGCGTCAGGGTGAGAGTGAGGAAGAACTTACCTGTGGTGATCAGTCTGGCAGACTGAAAGAAGTTCGCTTCCCGGCAGTCCTGGGACCTATCTGGTCAGCTCTGAGCAATGTCAGTTAAGGGATGAAAAAAATACCTTTCGGGCAACTGACAGGGGCTGAGAACCAGGATGGAAAGCAGAGGAGGGCTGGAGCGGCCGAGCTGGCGACAGGGGAACCACGCGGTGGCCTCCGCCTGGCACTAACGCACACATGGGCAGGGAAGTTCGCAGTGGCTCTGGAGATGAATTCATGACTAGTCTTTGCACGTTAGCCATCTGCCTGAACTCTGAGGTCCTCTGGCTCCCACTCCTCTACACAGTGTACTAATCAACAGGCTCGAGGAATCATCCCAAACTGAGTTAACCCTAGGTCACAGACTTGTATGACCAGCAGCCTGAAGCTGTTCACAAAATTGCAGCCAAGTTCAAGGACGCTGTCTCCCAGTCCAGCACTCTTTCCACCACATCATACTGCCTAGAGTATTATTTTTTTAATGGCAAATAAATTGCTATTGTCCTTGGGCTTCTTGAAATACGGGACAAATATGACAATAAGAACAATCCTCTTGCTCCAAATAAAGACAAGCTGTCTATGAGCACTTCTAATTTTTTCAAGTTTAAAAAAAAATCTTCTCTGGGCCGGCGCCGCGGCTCACTAGGCTAATCCTCCACCTGTGGCACCAGCACACCAGGTTCTAGTCCCGGTCGGGGCGCCGGATTCTGTCCCGGTTGCCCCTCTTCCAGGCCAGCTCTCTGCTGTGGCCCAGGAGTGCAGTGGAGGATGGCCCAGGTGCTTGGGCCCTGCACCCCATGGGAGACCAGGAGAAGTACCTGGCTCCTGCCATCGGATCAGCATGGTGTGCCTGCCGCAGTGCACCGGCCGCGGCAGCCACTGGAGGGTGAACCAACCAACGGCAAAGGAAGACCTTTCTCTCTGTCTCTCTCTCTCACTGTCCACTCTGCCTATCAAAAAAAAAAAAAAAAAAAAAAATCAATCTTTCTCCTGATCTCACATGAGAAGGATTTGACTAAGACGTGGCCAGTGGCTGGGAGACGCTAGATGGGACGGGAGGGCAGCAATCAGCCCCGGAGCAGCTCAGAAAGCACAGGAGCACTCATCTCCGTGGTGAGGCCGCTACTGCGCTCTCCTCTGCTCTAAACAGACCCTGGGACAGAGATGAAGTTCAGCTCCAGAGGCCCTCTCCTCCACAGCACCCCAGAGCATGTGGGATTTTTTTAAAAATTTATTTTATGTATTTGAAAGACAGAGTGACACAGAGAGAGCGGGAGAGACAGAGAGCGAGAGCGAGAGCGAGAGTGTGTTCCATCTGCTGGTTCACTCCCCAAATGGCTGGGGCTGGACCAGGCTGAAGCCAGGAGCCAGGAACTCCAACTGGGTCTCCCATGAGGGTGGCAGGTACTTGGGTCATCCTCCACTGCCTTCCCAGGAACATTAGCAGAGAGCTGGATTGGAAGCGGAGCAGCCATGACCTGAACCGGCAATCCAACACGGGATCCAGCCTCACAGGCTCTGGTCTAACCCGCTGTGTCACAACGCCGGCCCACCGTGTGGGATCTGGATGTGGCCAAGCTGGCCTGGGCTTCCCTTGGTTTTGTAGTCCTCACCTAAATCCTGGCACAACCAGAGTGAGGATCATGAAGTCGTTGTCCGAGGCGCCAACGGCTGTATAAATGTGATCGCCAGCCACCTCCCAACCTGCAAAAGGAGTGGGGAGGGTTAACGCCCTCGTGCTGGCCGGGGCAGGGCACATGAGCACCTGACAATGGTCTGGAAGGGTGAGATGGCACCATCCCCCGACAGGTCCAGAACCACTGCCGGATAAGAACCCTGGTCAAAGACCACGGGACTCTCAGAGCAAGACCTCTGCACGTATGCGCTTTGTCTCTAGCTCTGTGTTCATCTCCGGATATACATCCACGAAGAGTGGAACTTTCGAGGGAACGCGTGGCCTGATCAGTGTGTCTTTACGAATAACTGGGAAGATGGCGGGATTCCTGGGGGAACGCAGAGGTGGGGCGTGAGAGTCAAGGTAGGGAGAGGCAATTACCTGTCATGCCCTTGTACTCGAAGTTGATCCCACTGAGCACAGTCGTTTCCATGTTGGTGGGCAGCGTATTCCACCACTTGTATTCAAACCCCATGGCAGGCTCCGTCCCCGCTGGGCAGTGGGTACAATCTGGGGGAACCACAAGATCCATGCCTTGAGCAGGAAGGCTGTAGCCCCCCTGGCAGGAGGTGCTGAGCCACAAACAAACAGCAATGGTAGCAGGAAGCCCAGCAAAGACTTGTCAAACTCTCCCACAAGCAGTCTGATGACGGATTGGACAAACGCAAGGTGTCTACACTGACCCTACATTCTAATACCCGAACTACCCTATTTACCCACTGGAATGTACCTTCTAGTTGGCCACGTGCAGTTCCTACTGTCATCACAATTTTCATGAAATACTTTCATGCTGAGAGGGACACAAATCCCCGCAACTCCTTTTTTTTTTTGCAAGCACAGCTTACAGGTTCTGATTGTGGCAAGCAGGTCAGCCCAGTGCCCCAGCTAGTGGACATCCCTGCCATGTGCTGGAAGCCTCAGCTGGGTGGCCCGGGGAATCTTCAGGCCGGAGTCCCATTCGCCGTTAGAATGAGGTGGAAGGAAGGTGGTTCTCAAGTCTGACCCTGGCCTGCCACTGGGACCAGCCCTTATCTCCGTCCCCAAATGAGTCCCTGTTCACGGGCCCCTCTGAGAGCCCACCCAGCCCATCCATGGGGCTGATGTGGGGACGGGTGGGAGGCAGGAAGCAGGGCCCGAGGGAGGTTACCGGAGCCGTTGGAGTAGGAGCCGTAGGGGCAGGGCTCGCAGGTGCTGTTGCTGGTTTTGAAGAAGCCTGGGTTGCAGGGGGGACAGCGGGTCTTCACGCCGGATGCGGGCAGCTTCACCGCGCCCTCGAGGTCCTCACTGCAGATCTTCGGCTTGGCCCATTTGTACATGAGCTGCGTCTGCAGAAGTGGATTCAGCACTGCTCAGCCGGTGGGGGGTCCAGCCCATCTGTAGGACTCTAACTTGGGGGTGGGGGGTGGTGGTGGTGAGCAAGGTTGGCGGCAGACTTCCGGGCTGGAACGAGAGCTCCACTGGGGTGAGAAACTTTAGTTCGCCGCCGTGTCCCAAGTACCCAGCCCAGTGTCTGACACATGGCTGTGCTCAGTCCCTGTCTGAGGACTTTGGGACAGAGGGAACTGGGGGACCAGAAGTCTTTAGAGAAAGCTCAGCTTCCACTGTGGAATCTGGGTTCCACTGAAGTCACAGGAGAAGCAGCTGATCAAAGTCCCCAACACAAAAGGCATGGACCAGAGGAGGCCGGGCCAGGAGGGCATGGCTGCGATGTCCCAGTTTGTTTTCCCAGCGGTGCATCCTTCGCTCTTTGGTTTGTTCAGTAAACACTGACAAAAAGTTGGGGGCATCTGTGTGCCAGGCCTGGCGTCTCCGAGACAAAACCAGACGTGGCTCCTGCCCACCAGGAGCTCACCAACCAGCAAGGGCAACACACACACAGCAGTCCAGGTGGGACGTGGTGTGGGCAGGACATCAGGGCCAGGGCAAGGCCAGTTAGCAGTTTGGTGGACAGGGGAAGCCAGGTCCTGTCACTACCACCACCACCTCCCGCCGCCGTGAGGGCCATCCCTCCTCTGTTGACGGAGGTGTTGGGTACAGAAGGGGAGATGAGAGGCAGGAGGCATCTGCTGTGCCACGGGAAGTTGGGGCAGCTCCACTCTTCCCACAAGACCCTCACATCACTGAGTCAGAGACTGAGCGGTGTCCGGATGGACCACAGGGAGGGGATGATGGAAACGATGTGTGTGGCAGACCACACATGTGGACAAAGGGCCAGGGAGCCCTCTGTTCCATTTTATCCAGAAAAAGAAATGGCAAGGCCAGGGCTGGTGCTGTTAAGTCTCAGCCTGCGGTGCCGGCATCTTATATGGGTGCCAGTTCATGTCCCAGCTGCTCCTCTTCCAGTCCAGCTCCCTGCTAATGGCCTGGGAAGGTAGTGGAAGACGGCCCAAATGCTTGGGCCCCTGCAACCACATGGGAGACCCAGAGGAAGCTGCTGGCTCCTGGCTTTGGATTGGCCTAGCTCTGGCTGTTGTGGCTATCTGGGGAGTGAAACAGTGGATGGAAGACCTCTCTCTCTCTCTCTCTCTCTCTCTCTCTCTCTCTCTGTCTCTCCCTTTCTCTATCTGTAACTCTGCTTCTCAAATTAAAAAAAAAAAGAAAAAAAAACTTTAAAAAGAAAAAACAAGGCCACAAGGAGGTACCTGCACCACTTTCATTGCCAGTGAGCTTTGGGGCCTCTTCCTCTGCTGTCCACTCAGCCTCCTCCCTGTGAGTAGCAGCCAATGGCCAGGCTTGTGTCTTAACCTTGCCCTGCCCTGTCCCATTTCCTGTGACTTTTAGGGACAGGAGGGTCCATCGGGCACGAAAACTGAGCTGGGCCCTCTCTTGGAGTGACACACTGAGTGGATCCAAAGGATTGACCATCCTGGTCCCTGAGAAACCACTGAGTCACAGCCAAGTTTGCAGGGGCAACCACAGGCATCAGCGCCAAGTGTGTTCCTTGATTTTAAAATACAGAGTCACGGGCAAACGGAAATCAGCAGACCGAGCAGAACCAGCGTGTGTGCCAGGCATGAGGGAGACTTCCACGAGGTGCTGCTGGTGGAAGTGCGCTCCGTGTGCTCCCTAGGCCAGGTGCCTGGGCGCCCCTGCCTCTGAGCCGCTCTGGCTGTCTGCAGGGCGGGGGTTTGGGCTCTGGGCTGACCCAGCATCTCAAGGCCTAGTAGTGGTCAGGAGAGGACAGACCCCAGGCCTGCAGGCAACACAGTACACTACAGGTCTGGTCTAGAAGGCCTTGTCCTGAGTCTGGGAGGGCAGGGAGTGGGGCAGGAGGAAGGAGGCACAGTGCTACATCTATGCAGAGAAGAGGTGCAGGATTAACTGTCCCCCGTGTGTAGATGAGTCAGCCGAGACCAAGCAAATTAATATAATTTTGACGAGGTCACACAGCACAGCAGGTGCTACAAGCTGCCTCAGGTCCCAGTGACCTGGAACACAGGCCCTCTCTCCTGGCTGCCAGGGGGTGGGGAGTGATGCTGCAAATTGGGGAAAAGGCGGTGACAACAGGTGACTGTGGAGAGCCATCACTTTTAAGGGAGAACTCAGCTGACTGCACGCATCCAAGCAGCCGAGCGCTGTGCCTGGTGCTGAACACAGGATTCCCGGCTCCTAATTCCATCTCCCAGGCAGGCCCTGGCTGAGGGACTGACAGTTCAAGCCGGACATTGAGCCCGGACATCGAGTTTCAGACAGATGCCTCTGCTCACACCTTCTGGCCCACTCCTGCTCGCTTCCCAGCATCCCTCATTCCTCCGACTGGCAGGCACATGCCCCACCTCTTCTCCACCTGCTCTGGCCTCTGCCTGGCTCCTCCCTCATCTCATTCAGGGCTCAGTTCAAAGGGCAGCTCCTCAGCGAGACCAGCCCCCCCCCCCCATTCTCTAGCTCCTAATCCCATTTTTTACCCTGTGATCTATTACATTGCCATCTGCTGTCTCTCTCCGCCCCTCTCAAGAGCTAGATGCTCCTGCGGTCTTATGGACTGGTGGGTCCCTAGCGCTGGCACCCAGGAGCTGCTCAGTGGGTATCTGCTGACTACTGCAGTGAACAAGTGACCGCTACACGAGGCCTCCTCTGGCTCCCTGGTCCTGGTGCCCCCTCTCCTGGGTTCTCCTCCCTGCGCCCTACACATCTGCTGGGTGCCTTGGTCGGGCACTGTGGGGAGCAACTCAGACTAGACTAAGTTACTGGAATTAAGACTTATTCTATGCATCTGCTCTCCCACAATATGGCCCTGGGAGAGGAGTAAAAACAACTTTTACACAGCTGCCTCCAGTTCAGCCAGTAACCTGCAGGAGCTGATCCTGCTCCTGATTGGAGGAGAGCAGTGTACTCGGCGTGTGGATAGCAGAGTTGGGATTGGTGGAAGAGGACTATAAAGGAGGAGAGAGCCAACATGCACCAGGAACATCTATCTGAAGGAACACCTGTGCAGCCCCCGAGAGAGCCGGCCGGCGGTGTGCCGCTCCCCCGCGGAAGTGGGGAAAGTGGCAGGGGGAACCACCCTTCCACGGAGGTGGAAGGGTCGGTAGCCAACCCGGGAAGAACCAGCAGCAAACCCGGGAAGGGCCGAGCAGACAAAAGAACAGCGCAGGGTCCTGTGTCATTCCTCCACGAAGAGGGGGAGCGACAGGGCACCATCTTTGCCCCCTCTTCGGCCTCCCCAGGGGTCATGGATCATGAACTCCTGAGAGCAAGAGTCTGTCTCTGGCCTGTGTGCTCCCCAGCCTGTCGCACAAGGCCCGGCCCAGTAGCATGAGCACTGTTGACTGGGTGACCATGCAGAGGGAGGCCTTTCCTGAGGGGGAGGGCCCGGGGGAGAAAGAGAAACAGCAGCGATGGACCAAGGAAGGTCGCTCTCCAGGGAGCCAGGAAGCAGGAGTCCCTTGCCGGCCCACAGACTCAGAGCTGTGGGGACAGGTCTGATGCGCTCCACGAGGACAGCCAGACATTGCTCGGTGGGGCCGAGCAAACAGGACACGCCAAGCCAAGGACAGATCAGGATTATTTCAGAACAGAGCACTCATGAAGAAGTCATGAAATAAGTGGGGAAAAAAAATAAAACAGTTTGTGATCCGAAAACAAATGACGTCACCTTGTTTTGTCCCCCTGCACAACCTGCACTCCCGGCCCTGGAGCCAGTGTGCAAATCTGTGGGTTTTTTCTGGGGCCAGCTTTGCTGCCTGCTGTCACCAGGGGTGGTGAAGGGGCTCCGAGACCATGCAACTCACCTCTCCGTTGGCATCACAGGCGGTGTGTGTGTAGAAATAATCCTTGTCTGTGCAGGCCGGGCGCACTTTGCAGGAGGAGGATCCTTTCTCTACATCGCCAAAGCAAGAAACACGATTGGAAAGCAGAGCTCCTGACGCTGGCTTTTGCCCCCAGGCCTCCAGGCTGCTGGGCTGCATGGCCACCCAGATGCTGCAGGAAGCAGAAGATCCTGCAGGCCCACACTGCCCTCTGTATCATTCCCAGTTCCCCAAGCCTGCTCAGCTGTCCCTTTGCACCTCTCCCAGGTGCTGACAAGAACCCGCTGGCCCCGGGCTGCGGGAACAGCCAGGGGTGGGGTAGCTGGCAGCAGCCTCCTGCAGGCTAACCACCCACACCCCCAGCCCCTGCAACCCGCCATCCCCCTAGTGCCTCTGCCTCCTGACTGTGGGTGTGGATTCCCTACTCCCAAAAGGTTGAAATAAAACTTAGGAAATTGCTTTCCTGCTCTTTTTTTTTTTTTTAATTTATTTGACAGGTAGAGTTATAGACAGAGAGAGAGGACAGAGAGAAAGGTCTTCCCTCCGTTGGTTCACTCCCCAAATGACTACTACGGCCCACGCTGCGCCGATCCGAAGCCAGGAGCCAGGTGCTTCTTCCTGGTCTCCCATGCGGGCACAGGGGGCCAAGCACTTGGGCCATCCTCCACTGCCCTCCCGGGCCACAGCAGAGAGCTGGACTGGAAGAAGAGCAACTGGGACCAGAACCCGGTGTCCACATGGGATGCCGGCACTGCAGGCGGAGGATTAACCAAGTGAGCCACGGCGCCCGCCCCCATCCTGCTCTTATCCTAAGCCTTCCTCTGGCTTTTCCCGTGGTCTACACTGAGAACAAAGGCCTCCATGCTTTGAAATTCTCCTTCTCTCACACACCATCCTGTACAAACAGGCCATCTCTTCTTTGGACTCCATTTAAGATATGTGGTTCTTTCCACGTTCCTCAACACAGGCATCCTAGCGTCTTTAACCCTTGCCCTGCACCCAGTGAAAAATGTTGAGCAGAGACTTATGCTAGCAATTGTACTTTTTAAAAATTAATTTATCTCAGATGCAGAGTTACAGAGAGAGAGAGGTCTTCCATCTGCTGGTTCACTCCCCAAATGGCTCCAACAGCCAGAGCTGGGCCAGGCCAAAGCCAGAAGCCAGGGGCTTCTTCCAGGTCTCCCAGATGGCGGGTGCAGGGCCCAAGAACTTGGGCCATCTTCTACTGCTTTCCCAGGCATGTTAGCAGGGAGCTGGATTGGAAGTGGAGCATCCAGTACTCGAACTGGCACCCATATGGGATGCCGGTGCCACAGGCGGAGGCTTAACCTGCTATGCCACAGTGCTGGCTCTTACCCTAGCAATTAAGATGCCCACACCCCACATTAGAGTGCCTGGATTCAATTCCCGACTCCAGCTCCTGACTCCAGCGCCTTGTCAGTGCAGACGCTGACAGAGAGCAGTGATGGCTCAAGTAACTGGTTCCTGTTTCCAGCCCCTGACTGCAGCCCCAGCCATGTGGCCACTTGGAGAATGAACCAGTAGATAGGAACCCTGTCTGTCTCTTTCTCTGCCTTTCAAATAAAAGTTAAAAATAAAAATTTTGAAAAGAAAAATGTTGAGGCTGGCATTGTGGTGTAGTGGGTAGAGTTGCCGCTTGCAACACTTTCATCCCATACAGGTGCCAGTTTGCATCTCAGCTGCTCTACTTCTGATCCAGCTCCCTGCTGATGGCCTGGGAAAGGCAGCAGAAGTAGGCCCAAGTGTCTGGGCTCCTGCCACCCATGTGGGAGACCCAGAAGACGTTCCTGGCTCCTGGTTTCCCCCATTGCAGCCATCTGGGGGAGTGGGCCAGCATACGGAGGATCTCTCCAACTCTTTCAAATACATAAATCTTAAAAAAAAATGCTAAATCTCAGTTTTATCCTACTCTCTGCATGAGGTAACTTCAAAGAAGTTTGTAAAAAATTGATTATTCATTTTGGTGCAAAATTTTTTTGAAATCCATACTTAGTTTTTTCATAACATGCATTCTGCAGACTTCTTTTTAAAATTTTTTATGTATTTATTTGAAAGGGAAAGAGAGAACAAGAGAGCACTTCCATCTGCTGGCTCACTCCCCAAATGCCCACAGCAGCCAGGGATGGGCCAGGCGAAATCAGGAACCAGGAACTATATGCGAGTTTCCCATGTAGATGGCAGAGGCCCAAGCACTCAGGTCATTACCAGGGAGCTGGCTCAGATGTGGAGCAGCTGGGACATGAGCCAGCGCCCATGTAGAATGCCAGCACTACAGGTAGTGGCTTAACTCACTGCTTCAGAACACTGGCCTCTGATACCATTCTTTCTGATATGACTACTGTGTCAGCTGCAAATGAGCATTTAATAATAACGATACCTCTTCCCTTCTCTCCCCTTCTCTCTCTCTTACTCCCTGTCTCTCTCTCTCTTTGTGTGTGTTACCTGACAATGGAATGAAATTTTTCGAAGGATTTATTTATTTGAGAGGCATAATTACAGAGAGAGAGGTCTTCCATCTGCTGGTTCACTCTCCAAATGACCACAATGGCCAGAGCGAGCCAGACTGAAGACAGGAGCCAGGAGCTTCATCTGGTCTCCCACATGGGAGCAGGGGCCCAAGGACTTGGGCCATCTTCCACTGTCTTCCCAGGTTATTAGCAGGGAGCCAGATTGGAAGTGGAGCATCCAGTACTCGAACTGGCACCCATATGGGATGTCAGCGCCATAGGTGGAGGCTCAACCTACTATGCCACAGTGTTGACCCTGGAATGAGATTTTAAGCAAGACAGATCTGGGTTTGAATCCTGGTTCATCATTTAACAGTTGTGTCACCATTTTGGTCAACTTAATTACCCTCTGAGGCTCAGCTATTTCAGATGTTGAGCAGGAATAAAAATACCTTGAGTAAGGGGCCTGTGCTATGGTGTAGCAGGTAAAACCGTCACCTGTGATACCAGCATCCCATATGGGCGCCAGTTCAAGTCCTGGCTGCTCCACTTCCAATCTAGCTCTCTGCTGATGCACCTGGGCAAGCAGTAGAGCCGGCCCAAGTGCTTGGGTCCATGCACCATGTGGGAGACTCTGAAGAAGCTTCTGCCATCAGCCTGGCCCAGCTCCAGCCATTGCAGTCATTTGGAGAGTGAACCAGTGGATGGACGACGACCTGTCTCTCTCTCTCTCTCTCTCTCTCTCTCTCTCTCTCTCTCTTTCCCTTTTCTGTGTAACTCTTTCAGATAAATGAAATAAACCTTAAAAAAAAATACCCTGCCACATAGTAAGTAGCTACTCACTAAAAGGCAGCATTATTATTTTTGCAGTAATTATTACTACCTGCATGTCTCAGGATTACTTTTATCTCAGGACTGTCACTGGAGATTGAATAAGGATTAAAAATCTCTTTTCCCTCCCTTGCTGGTAAGGGCTTATTTCACAACCGGTCTCTTCTTCCCAGTGCACCAGGTGAGTTCCTGGATCACAGAATCTAATCACAGCCACGTTGTCCTGCACTGGGTTGTTCCTCAACTGCCCATCTGCAAGTCTTCTCTGTCTCCAGCTTATTAAGCTGCGCAGGAGGGAGCCACTGGCTGCACGACAGCTGAGGTCGTCTCAGTCATTTACGTGGTTAACAAGCAGGAGGAGCAGCACAGCCCAGAAGGGTCCGGGGACTCCTGCTTTCCACTGACATGGCCAGGAGAGACTTGGGAGGAGATGCTGCAAGTGGGCCAATTCCCGGAACTTTGTATATTGGGGCCTGTGGAGAGCAAGGCCCCTGTTAGAAAATGCACCGTGCACCAAAGCTGTTCTCTGCTTGGGCACGTATTTGTTCAATCTGACACCCTAGCTCCTGGTGTTTGAAAAAAACAGTCTACCTGTTTGCACACTGATCACTGATAAGTAGGTTTTAATAAATGATTAACCCCGGCCTGGGTGCTTAGCTAGACTTCACTTTTTTAGCTCAGGTTTCGCCCAGGTTTAGCTGGGTATGAGCCAAGTTTGAAAGATCGGCTGGAGTTTTGCGTGAGGGAATGACAAGTGGTTCAAGTAGGACTGGCCCTGGGCAACATGGGAAGAAGATAACACTTATCTCTTTCTGCATCTCCCTCCTTTCCCCCAGGAATAGAGCTCCCACTCAGGATGCATCTTCTCAAGGGAGAACACAGCCCTGAGCAGTTAAGTACCCAACTAACAGGTTGGGCGCTGAGCACACCCCCAACCTCTCTGACCTCTTTACTCAACTGTAAGTGGGGAAGTCACTCCTTCACTCTGCTTTGAGCAATAAATGAGATAATAGTCTGTGGATTGTAAAGTGCTACGCAAGTGACTTAACATGATTGTAGCTGGCACCACGAGAGGAGTGACAGGGCTTAATGTAGCATGAAGAAAATGAGTGCTTCCTGCCTGCCCAGCTGCTTTCGACAGCTTTTACTTGCATTAATCAATCTTCACAATAACACTAGGAGGTAGATATCATTATCATTCCCATTGTATAGATGAAGAAACTGAGTCGCAGGCAAGAAACTGGTCCAACATGGCAAGTTTAGTAAATGGTGGGACAGAGATTTGAACCCCAGTGATGGAATTCTGGAGCCCACGCTCTTATATTCCACTCTTCTAGCAGGGCACAGATCACTAATATTAAACATACACTGAAGAATTAATGCTAACCATCAGATTTTAGGCTTCAGTGAGACAGGTGCATTTAGTCCAACTTCCTGTGAACTAGCTCCCCAGACTCCACCTTACTTATGTCCTGATGGCACTGATGCACCTGCTACAGAATCTCCCTAGCACTGTCTCTGCCTCCAGCATGCCCTTCCTCCTCCACCTGGCAGCAAGAGTCGTTTCCCAAAAGCAAAGCCAGATGGTGTTTAAAGCTCTTCAGCGGCCTCTTTGGCTGATGGGCCCAGTGTTTTTAGCAGTGCCACAGAAGGGCTGCCCTGTCCTCTGTCCCCTGTCCGCCTCTCAGCCTCGGCTGGTCCTTCTTGCCACCTGCTCTGCAGCCATGCTGAATCACTGCCCGCCCTCTGAGTCTGTTGGCCCCGGCTCACACTCCTATCCTGGGGGTCCCACCCCCATCAAATCACCGATTCAGCTGGTGAAGCCTTCCCGCTTCCCAGAGGGGACAGGCCACCCCCTTGTTTGCCTCCACTGCACGCTACCTACCACGTTGCACTACTCATCCCGCCGCTGACTACACTACACAGAGTTACTGTGCTTAATGTGGACATAACCACGTTTCCGCATTTCAACAGAAGCTGGCGGGCCGGCACCAATGCTAGCGCTAGCATCAAGCCCAGGGCTTGACACCTGGCAGGCACTCGATACACTTGTAAATGGATGGGTCTTTCTTCTCTCTCTCCCCTGATGCACGTTCCATCACAGGCTCACATTCTTCTGACCACATTCTTCATAGGAAAAACAACAACAGAAAACACCTCACTTCTTAGTCTTATAAGAGGCAGATGGAGAAATCGGAGGCAGAGGGAGACTAAGCTCCAAGAACAGACTCTCCACCTAACACTTTCACAACAGCTCCCTGGATAAAAGCTGTTTGTGTGGAGTTGATCAAAACTCACCTAGGCAGTTTTTCTAGAACTACCTTGCTGTTTCAAACTCTTGCACAAGTGCTGGGCTGGAAAGGAGCTGGTGACTTCGGCTAACAAAGGCTGCTATTGACAGAGGCAGAGCCAGGGAGGGGAATAAGAAATCCAAGTGGAAAAACAGGAATTTAGACTTAGAGATAAAAAGCTGCCTCCAAGATCTAAACATTCCTGTTCTGGCTGGCAATGACACTCAATTTGGCAAGATCTGTGTAGATAAATAGGACTTTTGTTTTAGGAACAGTGTAGGAATCAGCACTTCGCAAGGTCAAGGGCTGGTCTTAGCTGAGCAAACACTGAAACACCTGCGTGAGTGTGGCTGTGTCCCTGTAGGGATGCCGGGGTCCGCCTGAGAGGGCCTTGCGCTGGGTTTGTGTATGCTTCTGTGAAAGAAGGGAGAAGTACAGCCAGGGTCCCTGGGGGCGAGGTGGGGACTCTCCCTCTCCCCTGTTCGTTTCAGGACCTGTCTTGGAGATTGGTTCCTGTGTACAACAGAGCCTGAGCCCCTCCCTCCCCCCAGGACCCCTCAAGTGACCGCGTCCTGTTTTTCAAATGGGGGTGCCTTAGGAAGCTATCCAGAACTATGAAAATAGGCTGCTTCCAGCTGTTCCCGCCCTACGCTGTGTTCCAGGGAATACTGGGTTTCCTGAAAGCATCTAGTTTGAATGGAAACGATGCTCGGGGCTGGCGCTTCGGCTCAATAGGCTAATCCTCCGTCTTGCGGCGCTGGCACACAGGGTTCTAGTCCCAGTCAGGGCGCCGGATTCTGTCCCGGTTGCCACTCTTCCAGGCCAGCTCTCTGCTGTGGCCAGGGAGTGCAATGGAGGATGGCCCAAGTGCTTGGGCCCTGCACCCCATGGGAGACCAGGAGAAGCACCTGGCTCCTGCCTTCAGATCAGCGCGGTGCGCCGGGCGCAGCACACCAGCTGCAGCAGACATTGGAGGGTGAACCAATGGCAAAGGAAGAACTTTCTCTCTCTCTCTCTCTCTCACTGCCCACTCTGCCTGTCAAAAAAAAGAGTCGAAAAAAAGGATGCTCGGGTTGGTAAAAAGTAGCAACAGCCATCTTCAGCTCCTGCTATTAAAACGCTAGTGCTCCCAGCCTGATGTACACACGTTGCAAAACTTAGTAAATACATACAATAATTATGTGGCAATGAAAATTAAAACTTTTTAAATGTTGGTGCTCTTGGGGCCGCTATGGTGGTGTAGTGGGTAAAGCAGCCGCCGCCTGCAAAGCCAGCATCCCATATGAGCACTGGTTCGTGTCCTGACTGCTCCACTTCTGATCAGCTCCCTGCTAATGGCCTGGGAAAAGCAGCAGAAGATGACCCAAATGTTTGGGCCCCTCTACCCAAGTAGGACACCGGAGGAAGCTCCTGGCTCCTGGCTTCAGCTTGGCTCAGCCCTGGCCATTGCAGTCATCTGAGGAGTGAACCAGCAGGTAGAATATCCCGACTCCTCTCTTTCTCTCTCTGTAACTCTTTCAAAATAAATAAATAAATCTCTTTAAAAAAGGTTTGTGGGGCCAGTGTTGTGGCATAACATGTTAAGCCACCTCTTGCAATGCCAATATCCCATATGGGCATCAGTTCCAATCCTGGCTGCTTCACTTCTGATCCAGTTTCCTGCTAATGCGCCTGGGAAAGCAGCAAAAGATGGCCCAAGTGCTTGGGCTCCTGGCTTCAGCCTGGCCCAGTCCTGGCTGTTGTGGCCATTTAGGGAGTGAACCAGCGGATGGAAGACCCCTCTCTCTCTCTCCCTCTTTCTCTGCCTTTCAAATAAATTTTAAAATAAAAAAAATTTGTGCTCTTCAATATGTAGCCTCATAATTCTTATAAATGAATTTGGATAATAATTTTTATAAGTTAGAATGTATAAATGTACACCCCTCTTATCTACTGTAGCTGTTGCTTTTAATTATAACCTTACAATAGATAAGGTTTCATTTTTAAAAAGACGTCACTGCTTTTCTATGGAAAAAAAAGGGTTGCAGCCCCTTTCCCTAATTTCCTGGTGCCCCGAACTCTGAGCTGCTTTCCCTTTCGCCACTGCACCATGGCCTTGTCAACGTCTAATACACTACGTGACTTATTACGCAGGCATCGCTTATTCTCACGGCTGTCGTTTTGTGTCTGCCTTCCTCCCACTGGGATGCACACTCCATGAAGACGGGGGCCATCATCTACTTTGTTCACTGATGCATCCCAGGCACCTAGACTACAGCCTGGCCGACGGGAGAGGCTCAATGGACATGTATTGGGTTCTTTTCTATTTCCAGAGCGACTGATGGAGCTCCGGATGGGCAAGGATCTCCCAGGGCCCAGGGAGGAAGGCTTTAAGAATGCCCATCTGCAGCTTGGCCAGAGGAACACTCCTCTTGCTGGTTTCTCCCCGGGTGTTAACTGGGGACCCCCACTCCCACCCTAGCCACACTCTCGCCACCCCCAGGAACATCACCTGCGTATTTGTCAGGGTCACACGGGTGGCAGGAGGTTTCCCCTTTATTGGAGTACGAGTTGGCCGGGCAAAGTTTGCAGAAGGAGGAGCCCTGCTTGTCGGCGTAGGTGCCGGGTTTGCAGGGGAAGCACTCGGATGTGTAGGCCACCCCTAGGGAGGAAGAAGCACACAGACAAGCCAGCAGTGAGCCCCTGGGAACTGACTCTGCCCCTCCCCACCCGAGGCCAGAGGCCGGCGAGTCAGCCCCCGAGTGCAGGCCCCGCCCCGCCCTCCCGTACCTGTGATGGCGATGTTTCTCACCAGCACAGGCTTGGAAACCTTCGACCACACTGAGAAGGCCGTGGTTCTCCAATAGAGGACGTTATTGCCTCGATTTAGCTCCACCTGAAAACCACCAACAGGAGACGCCAGTTCATCTCAGAGACGGGTGCCGCTAACCAGTGGGTTTCGCCTCTGCTGGGGCTCCCTCCTCTCTTACAGCCTTAGAGAAGGGGCAGTGCTGATTCCTACCCTCCCGCTCCTCTGCGTCAGCTTTGCCCTTCCTCCCGTCTTGACCCAGCCCCTGTCTCTTTCCAAGCCTCGCCTGCCCTCTCGCATATATGCCACTCGCATCTCTAATGGCCAAGCCGACCAAGGAGCCTGCAGGTGCTGACAGTAGGGTGCCTGGCATTCCCTCATTCCTCCCTGGTTCTATGGAGCACAGGTGTCACCCACCGAAAAATTCTGCCTTAAAGCTGGAAAGCTGTGGGTCCCGGGGTCAAGCCACGGGAGCACGAGCCTGCCCACAGGCAGGCGCCATCCCCTCGAGAGGAGAGGAGATCCAATAGCATCCTCATTATTCTGCTCGGGACAGGTGGGAGTGCAGACTGGGAGTGGACGCTCTTCATGGAAGGGCCTCGGTCCCTCCTCTGGGATCTGCAGGACCAGGCTGCGGTGGTACTCACGCTGTGGAATTCCCATCCTTTCTCGGTGGTTTTCATCCACCTGGAGTCATCGGCGTTGGGCTGGCACTGGTCGTTCTGAACCTGAGGCAGCAGGAGTTTGGGATCAGAGCCCCATCTTCCCAAGGAAAGAAGTGCCTTACCCCCTGCTGCACCAGTACCCCCCACCCCTAGCCCCCAGCAGGACCTTCCTATGGGACAAGGGCTATCAATTTCCATTAGGGACTGAGTTCAGGACCCATGGGTCTAGAAGCAAGGCGTGAGCTAACGGCACACCCAAAGCATCTGAAAGAACTTGCAATCCAGAGGCCGCTTCTACACTGTAGTTACTGCTGAGTGGGGCTACAGGACTCTAAATCTCTCACGCCCTCCTTGTCCGCCTCCTTTGCTTTTTGCCTTTTCCTCCTCGCCTTCGGAGGCCTCGGCTCATTTGGCCCAGAGGGAAACCAACTGCGATTTCCCATGCAGGACTACAGTTGTGATTGTCTCCTGCGAATGAACCCGAGCCTCACAGCGTCCCAACCTCCCACCCTCCCTCTTGGCCAGGGGCTTACGAAAAACTCAAAGATGATGCTGGAGTCTGGGTAGTAGTATTCGAAATTGACGGTGCCGGACTGCTTCAGGTTGACAGCGTACATCAGCGTGGCTGTGCACTCGTCCGTGTTGGAGGCGATATAGTCGCCCCTGGGAACCCACTTTGACCTGTGAGAGAACAGGAACCAAGTTCACCAGCATGAGCACAGCCCCTCAGGCTTTGGGCCAAGTGTGGGTCTTGGCGGGGAGGGGGGCAATCGCAGACTTGTTTGTGGTTCCCATGGTTCACAAAATGAAATGTGAGCCTGGAAAGGCTCTGTAGGAGGGACCAAAGGAGCTCAGAGGCAGATCAAGGAGCGTGGGATCCAGCCAGGAAGAGGAAAACGCACAGGTGCACCTCCATACCATGCAGAACCATGGCAGGTGAAAGGGAGGGATGTGTGTGTGTGTGTGTGTGTGTGTAACATTTATTGGTTGCTTACTATAGTTCAGCATGGAACTACATGTTTTATATTCATGATTTCATCATAAGCAGATGTACTATTTTTCCTATTAAATGGATAAGGAAACTGAGGCTTGAAGACGACCTTGCCCAATAGCATGAAGCCAGTAAGTGGCAGGGCTCAGATTCAAACCCAGGTCTGCTCAACTCCAAAGCTGTGAAAGGAAGCCACTAGACACAATTATTCTTCATAGTATGGCTCTGTCTTGTCACCTGTGGTTAGGAATTGAGATTGCTGCCAGTTTTTATTATATTATTATTATTATTATTATTTGCTATGGTGCACATTCTGTTAGGGACATTCTTGTTCCTGTGTCCTTCTACACATGTTCGAATGGAGTGGCTGGGAGGAGAGCTGCCAGGTGGGAGGGTGTGTGGGCCTCCAGCCTCCCCAGCCACAGCCACGTGGGTCCCCGAAGGGGCTGCATCATTTTGCACCCAGCAGCGGCACTGGAGAGTCCCTGTTGCTCCACATCCTCTCCAACTGCTTCCAGTAGGATGTGGCAGGAAGTAAGTGTCTAAATGGGCGTGCGCTCTCATTTCCTGGACTTCTAGTGAGGCAAAGCATCTTTTTCATAGCTTATTTGCAATATGGATTTCCTGTTCTGGTTATATTTTGTTTTTGTTTTTTTTTCAAGATTTATTTATTTACTTGAAAGGAAGAGTTACAGAGAGGCAGAGGCAGAGAGAGAGAGAGAGAGAGGTCTTCCATCCACTGGTTCACTCCCCAAATGGCCATAACGGCTGGAGCTGCGCCGATCCAAAGCCAGGAGCTTCTTCCAGGTTTCCTATGTGGGTGCGGGGGCCCAAGGACTTGGGCCATCTTCTACTGCTTTCCCAGGCCATAGCAGAGAGCTGGATTGGAAGTGGAGCAGCTGGGACTTGAACCCGTGCTCATATGGGATGCTGGTGCTGCAGGCTTTACCCACTATGCCACAGTGCCAGCCCCTATACTTTGTTTTAATTCTCCTTCGACTGACTGGCTGGCCTGTAGATTCTGTGAGAACAAAAGCCAAATTTGTCTTGCTCACTGATTTATTCCCCCCAGCACCAGGGCCAGGGCCTGGCATAGGGGAGAGTCTCAGGGATTATGGGTATAGGAGATGGATGCTCTGCCCAAGGCCAGCCTAGCTCTCCAACTGCCTACTAATACTAGTGAAGGGAACCTCAACATCAGTCCACAAGTGTCCAGAACAACACATGGTATGTCCAGCTCTTCGGTAGCCAATGTTAGTCTCAAAACGGAAACATATGAACTGAGCTCATCCAAAACACCCTGGCTAACCCAATGGCATTGACTTCTCCTTGTTGGAGGAGGCACACCAGTGCCAATGTGCTCCCCGGACCAGCTATAAATAACTCCTGAAGTTTGATGAATAAATAAAAGGATGTCATGAGCAGGTAACAATGCAAAATGCATCACAATTCTGATTTTTGTCTGTGCTGTCCCTGGTGAAGACATTTCACGTGCAATATTAACAACATCTGAACTGATTTCTTGTGCTTGTATCAGTCTAAATTCTCTACCTGCATCATCTCATTTAACGCCTACGACACCCTGCAAGAAGAGCGCCGGCATTCTTGGGGTGAGGAAAGAGGCACCGAGGTGCTGGGATCTGCATGTGATATTTTAATTCCTGATGTGTTTACGTCTTTCTAATGCTTACGTCCATCTTGCATGCTTGTTTCACTGACCCAGCATTTGGACTTCTGCTCTTTCTTCTCCACTAACAAGAAGCTACACCCTTCAACCACTGCCTCTTCACTCCTCTTCCCCTTTGCATATTGCAGTCTCTGACCTTGGGCTGTTTCCAGCTCCGTAGTCCCGGGACATTTTCTCAGGAGCTTTGGGGGGGTCTCCTGAAGGGCCGGGATCCTGTGCCGACACTCTGTTCAGTTGGTCTGTTTTGTTCCCAGTTATTTATTTGTGTCATATAACACGTTAGAGGCTGAGGACAGAGTGACAAACACTACAGGTCTATGGGGTCAGGGGTGGTTTCTTGGAGGAACTGACTTTTAGGCAGAGACCTGCGGGTTAAGATGGAGTCAGCGGGGCCAGCACTGTGGCGTAATGGGTAAAGCCACCTCCTGCAGTGCCGGTTCCAGTATCATATTCTCCACTTCCAATCTACCTCTCTGCTGTGGCCTGGGAAAGCAGCAGAGGATGGCCCAAGTGCTTGGCCCCTGTACCATGTGGGAGACCCGAAAGAAGCTCCTGGTTCCTGGCTTTTAATGGGCTCAGCTCCGGCTGTTGCAGCCATTTGAGAAGTGAACCAGCAGATGGAAGCTGTCTCTTTGTCTGTCTCTCTGTTTCTTGGTCTCTCTCTAGCTCAGCCTTTCAAACAAATTAATTAATTAATTAATTAAATCTTTTAAAAAATATAACAGTCAGCTAGGGGCCAGCATTGCTGCACAGGCATCCCTCATCGAAGTGCTGGTTTGAGTCCCAGCTGCTTCACCTCCCATCCAACTTCCTGCTAATGTAACTGGGGAGCCAGTAGATGATGGCCCGAGTGCTTGGGCCCTTACCACTCATGTGAAAGACCTGGATAGAGTTCCTCGATCCTAGCTTCAGCCTGGCCCAGACCTGGCTGCTGTGGTCATTTGGAAAGTGAATCAGCAGGTAAAAAAATCTCTCTCTCCTTGCCTCCCCCCCCCCCCAAGTCTGTTGCTCTGCCTTTCAAATAAAAATAAATACATAATCTTTTTCTTAAAAAAAAAAAAAGGAGTGAGCTAGGGGGAGGGACAGGGAGGAGCATATTTGAAGGCCTCAAGGAGTAGAGGGCGAGGCGGCCCGTGCGGCTGGAGCCCAGCAAGCAGAGGGAAGGTGCTTAGAGAGGCTGGGAGATGGGTGAAGGGAAGGTAGGAGACTTTATCCCCACAGCAGTAGGGAGCCACAGAATCCAGTACTATGGTTGGATTTGTGCTCTTAAGTTCAGGCTGGCTGCTGAGTAGACCAGCGCCAGGAGGAGGTCAGGAGTGGAAGCAGGAGAGCCGGCTGGGAGGCTACAGAAGCAGGAGTGGGTTTGGATCAGTGGGGCTGGGTCCAGGAAAACCTGCAGCTGAATGGGAGAGACAGACACTTGAGCTCCCGGGGACCAGCTCCATGACTGCCTTTCTGGGGGACAGTGAGGGAAACCACAGAACCTCTTCAGGTGGCCACTTCTTCTCCTTTGGTACAGAGCTGAGACATCCTGTCCCTCCAGGGATGTCCAGAGGCTGCAGCAACATGTGCTGTGGAAACACAAGCTGTTCCTAACCGGGCACATCCTGGCTGGCTGAGGAATAATGGTTCCTGGACACTCCGCGCGGTCCTCGGAGAGAGGAGAGGCCGTTCCTCTGCATAGGGGGACTGGCTGGGTGAGCCACACCTGCGCCTTGTCCAGGAGGAGCACGTGGTACCTTCCATTAGGCCTCCAAGGACCCACACACTCCCTCTCCCTCCAGCTTTAACCTTCTCTGCCTGTATCTCCACTTCCAGCAAAACTAGCTCTGAAACAAGATTAACATGGGACCACTGAGGGTTTGCTGCTCAGCGCAAACAATGGTACTTTTAGGAGACTTAAGTACATGAATGGAAGACCGTGCTCTCAGTTTTAGAAATCCAAGTGTAACCCCATTCTTCCGCCTTTTTAGCCATTTGACTGCTCGAGTATAGGGAGACTTTCAGTGACTTTCCCCTCATACTCATTGTCGATACTTAGCAAAAGGTATGACCACTGCCTTCTGCACGTTGTCATCGTCACTCCTGCCACCTAGGGCCCAACAGTGCCCTGTGCTATCAGAAGATGGCAGTATGGGGCAGTAGGAAGCTTGGGCCTGGGTTTGAGTTCCAATCCCATCCGGTACAAACTAGACAAGCAAGGATGCTGAGCCTCCAATTTCCCTTCTCTGTCTCAGTAATAACTTCATCAGCAGGTTCTTGTAAGGATTGTGTGTGTGTGTGTGTGTGTGTAAGGGTGTGGCTTCCAAGATCTCTGTTGGCACTGGCCCCAGCTCTAGTCCTGTTTGATCTCCACAACACCCATGGACTGAGGTTGAGCTGAAGCCATTTTAGAAGTGGACAGCAAAGCCAGGAAGATCCCCCAGTGCTTTGCACGTTGTATCTCAGTCAAGTCGAGGAAGCTTATTGGCAGACCTGCGATCCCATGGTGGAAACCCAATCGGGTTTTATTGTAAGCAGATTGGGCCATTTAACCCCTGGTCTGCTTACTCACTGCCCTCCATCTCCCCATGTTCGCAACCTCTCCCGGACGCCTGTCAGTCACCGGTACACGCAGGTCAGTAAGAGGGGGCCGAGGCGGGAGGCACACCCAGCAGTCCTGTGGGGACCTGCCATTGTCCCACCCCCGCCCCGGCAGCCTGCCTTCTGCTCCCCTCCGCGCTTCCCATCCAGCCCCAGAGACGCTAGCAGGGTCAGCCCAGTGAGCCGAGGCGCGTGCAGGAACTCACAAAGTGCAGTTCTCAGTGGACTCGTTGATGCTGTCATCGATCTCCATGTTGGCGGAGAGGCTGGCAAAGCCGTGGGGCAGCTCATCCCACTCGTCGAAGCGGATGCCCGTGCCCAGGGAGTAGCGGCCCTCGGCACATGGCTTACAGGACTGGTCCTTCATATCCAGGAACTCGCCGGCATTGCAGGAGAAGGCTGGAACGCAGGTGGGGACAAGGGAGGGCTGGTGAGGTCAGTGCCATCCCAGGAGAAGTAGATAGGCTGTGAGCTTCCTACAGGGAGGAGTGTGGGGAGGGGGTCTAGGAACCACTGCCATTAGGGCCATAGCATGGATCATGGGGTTCTGTTCACACCAGATGCACAGAAGAGGCAAAGCCATGGAGACAGAAAGTAGACTGGGAGGGCCAGCGCTGTGGCACAGCAGGTAAAGCCACCACCTGTAGTGCTGGCATCCCACATGGGCACCGGTTCGAGTCCCAGCTGTTTCGCTTCTGATCCAGCTCTCTGCTATGGCCTGGGAAAGCAGTAGAAGATGGCCCAAGTCCTTGGACTCCTGCACCCACGTGGGAGACCTGGAAGAAGCTCCTGGCTCCTGGCTTTGGATCAGCGCAGCTCCAGCCATTGTGGCCAACTAGGGAGTGAACCATCGGATGGAAGACCTCTCTCTCTTTCTCTCTCCCTCTCCACTCTCTGTGTAACTCTGACTTTCAAATAAATGATAAAAATAAATCTTAAAAAAAGTAGATTTGGGGCCACTGGGAGTTGGTGGTAGGGGTAGAGCTGGGGTGGGGAGAGGTTGTTAATGATGGGAGATTTCTTTTAGGTGTGGTTAAAATGTTCTTCAATTAGAAAGCGATGAAAATTGCTAGGAATATTCTATCAATCACTGGATTCTGCTCTTAAGTTTAAGGCAAATTGTATCTCAATAAAGCTGTTTAAAAATAAAAAGGTTCATGGTCACGGCTGTGCTGCCTCACTGAGGGCTCTGGGCTGCCTGGGGGTCATGGCCTCAGCAGTTCTGAGAGCTCCCCAGGGAGGGGGTGCCAGGGGCTCTCGGGCTGGCCCCCTGAATGGTGCACTGCCCTTCAGCTCTGCAGCTCCCCTGAGGTTCTCTGGCTTCTGCCGCCTCCTTTCTGGCTGTACTGCCACCGTGCTGGCCGGCATTCTCCTGCCCTGCTAACCCAACCTCTGCAGTGCCCTCCGAACTAGCTGCCTATTGTTTATTTTTGCTTGTTCAGGGGCCAGAGCTGTCCCCCTCAGCACTGATACTTGCTACCATTCTCCTTATTTACAAATTAACGAGGCACTCGCTTTTGGTTATAAGAGTTAAGGTCTTAGCTTGACATGCGCCCTCTTCCACAATCTCCCCCAACCTAACTTTCTGGCGAGACCTCCCACTACAGATCTTTCTCCACCTCAAGCCCAGCTGTGGCTGGCTGACTGTGCTGCTTCCACCCTGGACCCTACGCTTCTCTACCTCGAAACCGGGGCTCTCGCCATCCTCTCGGCTGCTCCTGACTCCCACCCCCTCTCCCATCGCGTATGTCTGAACCGCTCCAGGGAGCGCTGGGTCGGCGCTTGGCACGGACACTGTGGGAGTTCCACAGGGGTTTGCTCACACAGCGAGTGGGAGAATGAGCGTATGCCCCTTCTTCCACGCTTTGTGCTCCTGAAGGCAAGGACTGTGCCTTATCCATCTCTATGGTTCACACAGCACGTGCGCAACACAGGGCTGACACACGGAGCAGGAGCGCACTGGGAGGGGCTCACCTGCCCCTACCAGGAGCACCTCAGATCTGCTCAGGTGTCAGCACTGTCCACTCACCAACTTACTCACCTGCTGACTCGGGCCCTGGGCTATGCTGATGCTACAGTTCAACACCATCCATCTCCTCCCAACCCTTCCAATAATTCCTTAATTCTGGCTCCTGATTTTTATTGTTTTTCTTTCTGCGTTTTAAGAATTGTGCGGGGGGTGGGGCAGGGGAGAGCTGCTTGGTGGCTGTAGATAAGTTGCATCCACAGAGTCACCGAGGCAGGGACGGGAGCGGGGGTGAACCACAGCCTCTCTGGTCGCACGGTCAGATCCACCACCAGAAGATGCTGTGCCCAAGAGTGACGCCCCTGCACTTTAAAGGCTGTCTCTGCAGAAATTCATCTTCGCTGGCTTCCTTTTCTAGAACGATAGTGCACTGTAACGTTCCCTGATGACTGACCGTGGCTGGTGAGTATAGATTGGAGAGAAACACACAGGCAAAAAGAAAGAAAATGTATGCAGACAGAAAAAAAAAATCTGAATGCACACAGCTGGAATTGCATATATGCACTGATGAGGTCTGAATTTTTTTTGTGTGTGTGTGACAGGCAGAGTGGACAGTGAGAGAGAGAGACAGAGAGAAAGGTCTTCCTTTGCCCTTGGTTCACCCTCCAATGGCTGCCGTGGCCGGCGCACCGCGCTGATCCGAAGGCAGGAGCCAGGTGCTTCTCCTGGTCTCCAATGGGGTGCAGGGCCCAAGTACTTGGGCCAGCCTCCACTGCACCCCCTGGGCCATAGCAGAGAGCTGGCTTGGAAGGGGGGCAACTGGGACAGAATCCGGCGCCTCGACCAGGACTAGAACCTGGTGTGCCGGTGCCGCTAGGTGGAGGATTAGCCTACTGAGCCGGGGTGCCGGCCTGAATTTTTTTTTTTTTTAACATAAGCAAATTCAGATACCAGTCTGCCTCCATGAAATAGCATTTCTGCACCAAATTTCAGAAGGGTTGAGGAGGGTGACTAACTGGGGGAAAGATCAGATTTCCTACGGCAGTTGCACTGCTGGGCAGGGCCTAACTCGGGTGGCCGGAGGACAAAGCTGAGTGGCCGGGGAGGGCCCTGGACCAGGGTGGCTGCTTACAGCACTCGGTGCCCTTGACGGGGTCGGGGAGGCTGGTGCACAGGCCCGGGGTGTGCGGCACGGCGACCCTCCACCTGGAACCCGTGCTGTCACACGCGGTGTACTCATAGTGGTACTCGGACTGCAGGGGAGAAAACACAGGGAAGGTGCATCAGCAGTGGTCAGACGAACAGCTTCCCCACAACACACACACACGTGCTTCCCAACACACTGGCTGCTGACTCGCATCACCACCATCAGACTCTGGGACTCCTGGCAGGCGGTAGGCATCACGGTGCTAAAGTGATTACAAAACATTTACGGAAACGACGATAATTTAGACCATTCCTTTCCACCAGGGTCTAAGCCCTACCGGTACATTTTGGAGCACTGGTATTTGGTGCAGCAGTTAAGATGCTCCTTGTGATGCCCACATCCCATCTTGGAGTGCCTGGTTCAAGTCCCAACTCTGCTTCTGATTCCAGCTTCCAGCTAACGTGTGCCCTGGGAAGCAACAGATGCTGGCTCAAATGCTTACACCCCTGTTTCCCACGTGGGAGACCTGAATTGAGTTCCTGGCTTGGGCCTGGCCCAGCCCTGGCTGTTGTGGGCATTTGGGGAGTGAACCAGCATATGGAAGATCTGTCTATATCTCTGTTTTTCCAATGCATTAAATAAATAAATATAAATAAATTTTAAATATTAGTAAGCAAAGTCACATTTTTTAAAAAAGACTTATGGGGCCGGCACTGCGGTACAGCGGTTTAACACCCAGGCCTGAAGCGCCAGGATCCCATATGGGTGCTGGTTCGAGACCCAGCTGCTCCACTTCCGATCCAGCTCTCTACTATGGCCTGGGAAGGCAGTAGAAGATGAGCCAAGTCCTTGGGCCCCTGCACCTGCGTGGGAGACCCAGAAGAAGGTCCTGGCTCCTGGCTTCAGAAAAGCACAGCTCCAGCCAATGCAGCCAATTAGGGAGTGAACCATCGGATGGAAGACCTCTCTCTCTTTCTCTCTGCCTCTCCTCTTTCTGTGTAACTCTGACTTTCGAATAAATAAATAAATCTTTTAAAAATATTTATTTTATTTATTTGAAAGAGTTAGAGACAGAGAGAGAGAGAGTCTTCCATCCACTGGTTCACTCCCCAAATGGCTGCAAGAGGCAGAGCAGGGCCTATCTGAAGCAAGAAGCCAGGAGCTTCTTTTGGGTCTCCCAGGAGGGTGCAGGGGCCAAGCATTGCTACCCCATGCCCAGGCACATTTGTGGCTAGTTGGATTGTAAGTGGAGTTGAACCAGTGCCCATATGGGATGCTGGCATCTGAGGTGGTGACTCTACCCTCTATGCCACAATGTTGGCCCCAGTATGAATCATTTTTAAAGGCACGTTTTTGGTAACTCTTTGCTACTATGTATAAACAATGTCCTGATAGGACAGAAATAAGAGAAGGTTGGAAACAGGTGAATTTTTTATTACTAGAAGTATGAGCAAGGGCGTTCCAATGGAAGAGCGTTCTAAATGGAAGGGCTGATCCACAAAGAATTTATATAAGGTTGCAAAGAGGTTGTATTTCTATTTCCCCATGTTCCTCACACTCCCTTTTTCCCAGAAGGATTCTGAATTCCCACTTGGGTTCTGTGAAAATGTCATATTTATCCCAGGCAGGAGATGAGCTCTTATCACGCGCGCTGGTTCATGCCTCATTTCTCTGTGCAGTGGGAATCTCACAGTTCACTTGCTTCAGTTGAACTAAGAATAGACCGAATAGCAACAACAGAACAGCCAAATCAAGCATTAAATAAAACAACAAAAAAAAGCACTTGTCGGAAGAAAGAAAGCACAACTGATTTGCCAAATGTCCTTGAACATTTCTTGTTCCTTTAAATCTTGTAACAAACAACAGACTGTGGAATTAATGTCGAGTTTGAATGACAGGTTTTTTACAATCTGCACTTCCCTGAAACCCTATTTAAGCCCAAGGGAACTTAGTATTACCGTACCTGTGAGAAAAATAGGATGCTAACCCCCACCAACCCACTTGAAAGTATGAAGGAATGACATGTATAACTGCAAGAAACGGAGACTGAAAATGAGGCCGCTTTGAAGTTGGCTAATTAATATATCAGGATCCAAAGGAGAAAGTGTTAGCTTTCAGAAGAAATAAACACACTGCATCTCATCTGTTCTAAGCTGTGTGTTTAACATCCACAAAACCAAGGTGTGTCTTAGAAATGGCCCAGGAACCCTTGGGTTGATATTTTAACTGGTAGAGCCTTTTATGTCTCTGTGGCATCTAAAGAGTGGCGTCTCAGACTTGTTGAAATACTGTAAACATGTCAGTTCTGCTCTTGTGGTTGAAGAGACATGGGAACAGGAGAGAACAATTTTCTATTTTCTTCTAGTATAAATATTTACCAAACCCAGGTTGCGTGCCTGGCTCGTAGAGGGACGAGATGTGCCCTGTGGGGCTCAGGACAGCAGCACATAAAGTCCGCTTTCACCTGCAGGGAGCAGGTGCAGAGCAGGGGGAGGAAGTCGGGAGAACGGGGAGACCAACTTTTGACCAGAATCTTCGGCTCTGGATTTAGGTGTCAGTGTTATGCACAAAATAAGAAACATCAGGATGGGGATTCTCCTACTCCTGGTTACTCTCTCTTTCTGGATCCTTTGTGCCTCATAATTTTAGTCTTTTCCTCATCCCGGAGGACTCCAAGGATAAACAAGGCAACTACCCAGGAAGCACACTGATGCCAGTCCTGAAAATAATGCCTTTTTTTTTTTTTTTTTTGACAGGCAGAGTGGACAGTGAGAGAGAGAGACAGAGAGAAAGGTCTTCCTTTGCCGTTGGTTCACCCTCCAATGGCCGCCGCGGCCGGCGCACCGCACTGATCTGATGGCAGGAACCAGGATCCAGGTGCTTTTCCTGGTCTCCCATGGGGTGCAGGGCCCAAGCACCTGGGCCATCCTCCACTGCACTCCCGGCCCACAGCAGAGAGCTGGCCTGGAAGAGGGGCAACCGGGACAGAATCCGGCGCCCCAACCGGGACTAGAACCCGGTGTGCCGGCGCCGCTAGGCAGAGGATTAGCCTAGTGAGCCGCGGTGCCGGCAAAATAATGCTTTCAAAAGGGTTTTGCTGGGGCTGGCACTGTGGCATAGCAGGTAAAGCCGCTGCCTACAGTGCCGGCATCCCATATGGGCACTGGTTCTAGTCCCAGCTGCTCCATTTCCCATACAGCTCTCTGCTATGGCCTGGGAAAGCAGTAAAAGATGGCCCAAGTCCTTGGGCCCCTGCACCCACTTGGGAGACCCAGAGGAAGCTTCTGGCTCCTGGCTTCCGATCAGCACAGCTCTGGACATTGCGGCCATCTGGGGAGTGAACCAGCAGATGAACGACCTCTCTCTCTGCCTCTGCCTCTGCATCTCTGTAACTCTGCCTTTCTTTAAAGAAACAAACCAAAAACAAACAACAAAAATAAGGAGGGCTCTGCTGCTGCAAGCATGAGGGGTAGACCAAAATCCAGACTATGTAAATTGCATGGCAAACTGCATGAAGAAGGCAGAAGGAATGGAGCATTCTGCCTGCGGACATCGTGCCGCTCATTTGCCTGGTGCTCTCACAGCTCCCAAACCCCTCCACAGCTCCCTGGAAGGCAAGCAGAGTGGGGGTTGCTTCCTTCGCTGTACAGATAAGAGAGCTGACTCTCAGGGGAGTGAAATAGCTTGTCCAAGGCCACCTGTAAGTCACTGAGCTAGAACCCGGGCCACCAGGAATCCCCCACTCTCGTGGATCTGATCCAACGCAGACAGACCCGGCCAAATGTAACAGCCAAGTCCAAGAATTAAATGTGCTGGTGTTGGTTGTCTGCCAGCAGCCACACTCGCATCTGAGGCCTGAGAATCGGTGAGAAAATAGCTAATCTGTCAGAGCAGATGACTTCAGGCCACTCTGACTACATGTGCGTCTTGGAGGCTCACAGGCCAAGTCCGCTCCTCTTCACTGTCTTTCATTTGGTGCTCCCCTGGGCCCCACGTGGGTGGCAGGTTTGCTGGGAAAATGGTGGTCCTGAGCCTTGGAAAATCCCCCTTCCAATTTGTGCTAATTTATGTCATGCCCCTCGCCATCCGGCGTGGCTGGCTCTGCTGCAGCTGTTTCAAAGCTGAACTACACTTGGAGATCACATCTTTCAAGGATAAGCTTGGAGAGAGCTGAGACTTGGCCCAGGGCTAAAACTGGCAGGACTCCTCAATTATAGTCGGTGATCTATGGACAAATCAATTCCCGACAGGACCTCCACTCATCCAGCGATCTGTCTTTGAAAGTGCACAGTCAGCATAACACACAGATTCACAAGGGGGACACAGACGCACACAGTATCTACTCACGTACCCAGCACACAATTCCTTCCTCCCTGCCGTACACAATTACAGGACACACAGCAGAAAGTGGCTTGCCGCCTGTTCAGCAGGGCGACGGGGAAGGGTTTAGGGATGAAGGGTGGGGATCTTTAGTTAACCCATCCCATCCCTGTCCCACCAACATCACCCAGCCGTGCGACACTCCTGGACACAGAGTTGGACTCTGCTGTGCCCAATACTGAGCTGTCTGTAGATAACACCAATGCTTCAGCTCTGGAAGAACAATTCACTCAGACCCGAGATATGTGCCGTCTTTGCTGTGTAAGACCAATTGCTGAAATGACACTATTACAGCTGATATTGTGGTATAGCAGGTTAAGCTGCTGCCTGAGACACAAGATCCCATATCGGAGTGCAGGTTTGAGTCCTGGCTGCTCTGCTTCCAATCCAGTTCCCTGCAAATGTGCCCAGGAAGGCAGTGGAAGATGGTGCAAGTGCTTGGGCTCCTGCCATCCATGTGGGAGATCCAGATGGAGTTCCTGGCTTCAGAATGGCCCAGCCCCAACCATCACCACCATTTTGGGAGTGAATCAGCAGATGGAAGCTCTCTCAGTCTCTCTTTCTCTCTCTGTAAACTCTGCCTTTCAAATAAAATAAAATAAATCTTTAAAAGAAAAGAAAAGAAAACAGACTTTCAAAAGAAATGATAATAATAATATTAAAATTTCCAAATCAGGATGATACCTGGATGGACACCTATTTTTCCTTATACCTTTACCCCCTTTC